GAATTCACTCCTCCTGCCCTCACTGCCACCTGTGGGGAGTGAGCCCTGGCCTCATGGGCACCCACACGCTCTCCCTGAGCCTCTTGCTGAAGGACTGAGGAGCCGTGGAAGGCGGGGCCATGGGGCAAGGGCACAGGTGAGCTGAGTCTCCAGAGCGGGAGGGAGGAGGGAGGAGCCGAGGAAGCCAGCAGAGATTTTCTAGGAAGCCTGGGAACCACTTCCACAGAGTGCCTTGCATAAATTTACATAGCAAAGAATATTCTTTTGCATGCTGTGTTCCAGAGGCTGTGATTCCAAGGCGACCAAAATGCCAGAGGTGACTCAGGATGCCGGAGCATGCCTGCCTTGGGATCCGGGAGGGGAATGGGAAGGAAGGCTCCGCAAGGAGGGACTAGGCTGGAGTCAGGCTCCTCTTCACCCCTCAGGTGACCAACCTTTCTGGTTTGGTCCGGACCAAAGGGTATCGCCTCTCAGGATGCAGGAATCTTAGTGCTGAAGCCAGAGAAGTCCGGAGCGTCACTCCCTGGCCCTGGACCATACCCACAGCTACACTCTTTTCGTGTTCCACAACCTGGCATGGTGACCACCACGGATTGAGCCCCAGCTGTGTGCCCCGTACGTTCAGGAAAGTCTTCCTTCAGGAAGGCCAGCTGAAGAGACAATACGGAGACAAGTCCAGAGAGCTCCGGTGTCTAGTGCGGACAGTCGCTGCTCTCCCTCATGGCATCTCCACCTTGTTGTAATACCCATGTGTACAGGCCAGCAACTCAGAGGTTTTTGGGCTATTTGGTGAAATCAGACTGCCTGAGAGGCGATACCCTTTGATCCCAAACAAACCCAGGGACTATCAGGGAGCCTTTGTGGCCAGGAAGCAGGCAAGGGCTGGATGCCCAGAGGAGGGAGATCAGCATGGGTGGGCAACCATAGAAGGTGTTCTAGAGAAGGGGGTCGTGAGGAAAGCCTGAGATGGCCCTGCCTTCGCACAGGGCAGGGGCTGTGTTTGGGAAGGGCTAGGCCAGGGAGTGGTGGAACTGCAGAGTGGAGGGAAAGAGGGAGGAGGCCAGTGGCCATGAGGTCAGCATTGTCCCAGCTGGGGGGACAAGGTCTGCCCCTGGGCAGTAGCATTGGGATTGGAGGCTGGAATGTTTGATGGGGCTGGGGGTGTGTAGCCAGCAGGAAAGGATCAGATTGAAAAGGAAGCCTCACAGATTGGGCTCAGGAGCCAGCAGAACTTTGACAGAGAAGCCCCCGGTAACCAGAAACTGATAAACTTGGGACAGGATTGGGTTGGGGTCCCCCGGAGCTTGAGTCCGGCCGACAGAACAGGGGCAACCAGGTTGGGCAGGGTGGTCAGCTGGAAGAAGCCGTTCCAGCCCAGGGAGCATCTACAGGGCTAATGGGGACAAAGAAGCTAGCCTGGACGAGGGAAGAGAGTCATGAGGGTGCTGCTTCTAGAGGAACGGTCTCGGAATCAAATCAGGCCAGGCTTCTCCACACATTGGATCTGCATAAGACTGAGACGTGTTCTTTCCCCAGATTGCTGGGGGCCTGACCTCCTAGGCCTGCAGGAGATGGCTGGGTGTGAGCCTGGAGCGTCCTCGGGCCCTCCCACTCCAGCCCCCCAACCCTGGCATCACCAGAAACCTTGCAGCCAGGGCTCAGTCAGTCTCGGCCGCAGGCAGGGCGTGGGCCCTGAGCTGCTGAAGGAAGAGCAAGACCAAAGCCAGGTGCAGGCAGGGGGAGAACAAGGGAGAAAACGGATCCGTCCTGCCCGCCCACCCTGCACCGCCTGCGGGCCCAGAGACAAAGGACACTCTTGACTGGTTTACTTTGGAACCTGAGGCTGCCTGGCTGCTGGGCAACGGGGAACCTCACCTGGTTTCAGGAACCACAGAGTCCCAAGGATTCAGGTGCTCTACTGGAGCCCACGGGGAACAAGACCCTTCCTCAGACCTAGGCCCCCATTGTCAGTACTTCTTTATTAACATGCGAAATAATAAGATCTGGCAGCGGGTCTGATAAACCTTTTAATTGTGAACTATCAATGAGCGTTCATGATATATGAGATCCTGGGGGCACCGGTCACAGAACGGGAGAATGTCAGCAGGTTCTATGGGTCCCAGCACCGCTAACACAATCGCTTTGCTGCCTGTATTCGTGATTGAGGGAAGTGCTCAGTTGCATTTAAAAGTTAGTAAGAACAAGGAGCATTTCCTCCTACGCCGAAATCTTTCCCACCCATCCAAGAGGGCTTTAGGAACCCCTGAACTCCACAAACAAGGAAAGTTGTCTCTGCCATTAGCAGTCAGGAGAGTGGTCTCCCTTGGCCAGGGAGATAGCTGGTGACTGGAGGGGAATCCAAGTGTGAGGGACAGGTGATAATTTTTTCCTTGACCTGGGTGCTCTTTCCAGCTGTGTTTAGTTTGAGGAAATTCATCCACCTGCACGCTTAGAATATGTGCGCCAATCTACGTGAATCAATTGATTTCAATACACATTTTTTAACACCTTTACTAGAACAGACGGCTACGCAGGTGTGAGCTTGTATGTGCATGCACATTCTCTGTCTCTCTCACATACACACATGCATACACACACACACACACACACACACACACACACACACTCCCCAGTATATACCGGTGAGCCTCTGCAAGTCCATGGGCATACACGTGTCCCCAGAACCCTTGCAGGCATGTGGACACAGATGGATACAGTGAGACAGAGAACACTATTTTTAGGAAAAAATTCCAAGCCAAAGAGGAGGCTTTCTGATTTACTTAAATAGTGATTGCTGATGGTGGAGAGGATTGCCCTGGAAAGGGCCATTGTCATCCTGTCTGGCTTTTTTTCTTTTTTTCTTTTTTCAATAAGGACTAATGACTATTGTTTTTGTAAAAATAATATAAGATCATCCTAAGTAATTCAAGCACTAAAGAAAAGTACAAAAAGGAAAGTGTAACATGACCCACATTTTTACCAGCGAAGGAAAAAAAATCACCATTCACGGGGCGCTTGGGTGGCTCCGTGGGTCAGGTATCTGCCTTCGGCTCAGGTCATGATCTCAGGGTCCTGGGATGGAGCCCCGCATGGCATAGGGCTTCCTGCTCGGTGGGGAGTCTTCTTCTCCCTCTGCCACTCCCCCTGCTTGTGCTCTCTCTGTCTCTCTTTCTCTCTCTCTCAAATGAATAAATAAAAATCTTTAGGAAAAAAAATCACCATTCACCTTTGGCGATGAGTGTCACAGACACCTTTCTTATTCACTCAAAGATGGAAGCTGAACAGGGACACGCTTTTATAACAGGGGAACCTACTCCCTCACCTGCTGTTATTATCAAAGGTGTTCCTTTAACTTGTCTTGAGTGAAACCGAGGAACAAGACCCCGAAGGATGGAGTGGTTCTTAAAGTGCTAGGTCCTAGGACCTCTCCTCTGACCTCCCTTCACACCGGCCTCGTTGCCCTTCCCTGGGGACCAGAGGTGCCCTTTGGAGGCCTGGCTGTGTTATGCTTGCTCACCATTTACCTGTCAGCTGGCCAGGTGCCTACCTCCCAGCCATCCTGGGCCCGGGCCTGGGACCTTTGCCGGCAATGTGCAAGGGTTGGTGCGGCGGATCGCTGGGGTCATTGGTGACGTATTTCATGGGAGTGAGATCAAGGCAAAGCCTGCCTTTGGTTGACGGAAAGGGATTCTGTCCTGGCAGAGATCTCCAACAGGTGTCCGCCCTGCCCCCTTGAGCTGGTGCCCGGCCATTCCTGGGTTTGATGTAGTAATTGGCGACACTGCCTCCCCCTTGCCGGTGGCATCCCGGTCGGAGCTTCTGTGCCTACCACATCCTGTTTTGCTGGGACAGTCAGGAGTACATTCTTTGGTCTCCATGTCATAGGCAGAGCATGTTCGCACCAGGTCCCGGATCGGTTGAGGCCACGGGGGCCCACATTCTTGCAGTCTGGCGTGAGTCCCGTGCGTGTGCTGCTCGGACACCCCTGTGGAGGGTGGTCAGTTTTCCGGTTCTGCCAGCACCTGGGGCAGCCCTCATTTGTTCAGATTTGGGAGGAGGAGGCACGTGGAGAGGTGTGAAGAGCCCATGATGCTCTGTTTGAGCTTCCCGTCTTCGGAAGAATGCTCGCCCTGGGGATTTGGGGCGGGGGACCCTCCAGTAGGACATTACTGCAGTTGTGTACACCGCGGTGCTGACATCTGGATGACAGCTCTGAAGCTGGGCCCCTGCTGTTTCCAAACCCCCTGGCATTTGCCTGGGTCTCATTCGGCAGACACAGATGGCCCTTCAGGTGCCAGATGTTGGCACCTCCTTGCCCCAGGGAAAGTCTGGGCACCCTCCACCTGCAGGCACATGGTGCTGTGGGGAGATAGAGTACCCCCCTCCCACCCTTTGGCCCCACTGCCTGGGCTGCCTCTGCCCAGGAAAGAAGCCTGGGCATTGGCCCAGGACGCCTCTGATCACCTTCCACAGGGCTCCAGGGTTTCCTATAGAAGGGACAAGATTGAGAGGAGGGACGGCACTGGGTACCTTCCCATACCCTTCCCTCACCTACACATTCTTCATCATTCCTTCCATCATTCATTTGCTCAGGACCATCCTTGCCAAGGTCCTGGGACAAAAAGATGACAGGTCCCAGCCCTGCCCCAGCAAGTGTCCCTCCTAGTCCAGAGAGAGTCAGCACCTTTGTAGAAAGTGTATCAGTCGGCTCGGTTCAGGAACCCACAAGTGCAAATGTTCCCTTTTGTGGTGAGTGGGGCAGAACAAAGTCTTCAATGACACAGCCACTCTTGCCTAATTGCCATCAAATGTGCTCACTGGGACAGGAAAGGGACCCTCCTGTGGGTCCCCACACGGAGCCCACAGCCTGGAGGACACTGGGTTTGCCAGCACCAGCAAGGTGTGCCTCTGGAGATGTTGGGGACAGTGGCTGGGACCCTCTCTGCGAACCTCGTCCTTCCCTCCACCTGCACACCCCATGTTCTTTGGCTTCCCCACAGGCCACGCGAGGACTGCCTGGGCCCCAGAAGCAGGATGAGAAGATGGCAGACTTCCTGTTACCTCGGGGCACCAGCAGCTTCCGCAGGTTCACCCGGGAGTCCCTGGCGGCCATCGAGAAACGCATGGCGGAGAAGCAAGCCCGAGGCTCGGCCGCCTCACAGGAGAGCCGAGAAGGGCTGCCCGAGGAGGAGCCTCCCCGGCCCCAGCTGGACCTGCAGGCCTCCAAAAAGCTGCCAGATCTCTATGGCAACCCGCCCCGAGAGCTCATCGGGGAGCCCCTGGAGGACCTGGACCCCTTCTACAGCACCCAAAAGGTGACTGCCGCCCACCTCCCTGCCCACGCCTTCCTGCAGCTCCCCTCTCAGCGCAGCAGACAGGGAGGGGCCTCGCCTCCATATGGGGCTGCGTTTGGGGCGGGCTCCCTGGGCTTTGGGGGGGGGGTGAGTCACTGGGGATCTATATTCCAATCATTTTCATTTTATTCCCGAATAAAAGCCAGAATCACGCAGCCTGGTAATGTTTGGTGTTAGAAGAGAAGGAGCGGGCAGCCACAGTTGAAATCTTGCCTCCTTGGGGAGTGCCAGCTGTGGGGGTCATCTGTAGTTAGACTTTCCCCTCGGGCAGACTCCAGCCATCCTGCAGGGTGTATGATTTGGAGCTGGACCCCAGAGCACAGCATGTGGTCCCAGCTCCTACTAGGGACACATGTAGCCCGGAGGATTCACTGGGCCTGGCTGTGCCTGGGTAGCTCAGGCCGGGGGCCACAGCAGCAGCTCCTGGGCCTTGCAGGCTGGCAGTGGGGCGGTGAAGGCCAACGGGAAATCTCAGAAGGGTGGGGAGAGAGCTTGTTCTGCTGTTGTCCTTCTGAGTGTAGGGAGACGAAGTTGCTTTTGTCCACTAAGCAGGGTGACTCGGGCTCCCTCCCAGCAGGGATTTCCACCCAGGAGGTGGATTCCCCCATCTGGGTGCCCTGCCCCTGCCTCACCGCTCAGACCACAGGCACATGAGGCTCCCACAGAGGCCTGGTCCCCAGCTGGTTGCCCACTCTTCCAGGCCTCGCTGCTGGAGGAAGGCGGGTTTGCATTTGGTGGCAGCTTTTCCCCAGAAGGCCAGGTACAGAGGAAGAAGGTGGCTGCTCTCATTATTGGGGAAATGCCGGAGTGCAGACAGGGTCAGTGCTTCCAAGGCAAGTGTGAGTCCTGTGGGTCTGTATCACTAGGTGCCTGAGTGTGTGTGTGACCGTGCATTTCAGAGACCAAGAGCCTGGGGACAGGTGTGGTTGTCTCCTGTGTAGAAGAAGAGAGTTTGAACCCTGGTTCAGGTGATGCAAGTGGGGGTGGGGTCAGAGTTAGTCTGGAAGCTGGGATCCGTCAGGGCACAGGGGTCTAGGTCATGGTTGGTCACAGCTGGAAGTAACAATTAGGATCGAAGTGAAGGCCAAAGCCAGTGGCCGGTCCTGCTTTCAGTTGCAAATCCAAGTGGCAGCTACGTTTGAGTTGGCTAGGACAGGCAGAAGGCATGGCAGGAGGACCCAGTTGAGGCTGGAGTCAAGGCTGGGCTGGGTCAGGGACACTGTTTTCTATCCCTGTGATCAGGAATACTTGAACCATGGCCCAGGTATGACTCTGGCCTCTAAACTTCTGTCTCCTTGCTCACTCCTGGCGACACTGCCCCAAGTCCCAAGGGGTGGCACAGGCAGCACAGCAGAACTTTTGGTCCTGATATGCCCAGTCAGCTTATCTCCCCAGCTCAGATTAAATAGAACTTTGTCTCACCAGCTCAGCCTTTGGAGAAGCACAACCCCAGAGCTGTGCTCCCTCCACTGTTCCAGCCTTAGCCTGGGAAGCTGCGGTTGCACGGGGCTCAGCCTCCCGCACATACCGTCCACCCCCATGCCCCGCTGTACTGTGTGGACAGCATCTTCTGGAAGCTTGGGGAGAGGGTCCAGTTTGGGCTGCTCAAGATCCTCCCGGGGGAGATACTAGGTCATCTCCTCTGGGGTGAGGTAGGGCTGACACTTGTCCTGGGCCCCGAGACAGGGCCTCAGGGAAAGCTTCTCTCTTCTGGGCTGAGATCTCTGTTTTCCCATCCCTACTTCTCACCCATTAGTCTTCTCCACTGACCCAGCTCCCTCATTAGTGCATCACCACCAGCGGGCAGGGGGAGGGGGTCAGAAGGGAGCAGGGGAAGGAGCGGGCATCAGCCAGGTCCTGGCCTCTGCTGTGGAAACAGCTCGGCTAGAATCATGAGAGGCCCCTTCTTAGGACTGTCATTTTGAAACTGAACTAAGTCCCACCCAACCTGACATTCCCTTAAAGTTGACGTTATCCCACTATAGCCACAGGCACTGCAGCCACAGGCAACACCATAAGGGGCCACTGACCTGCCCTCTCCATGCCCTCCGCCTTTTTCTGTCCCTCTATTCCTTCCACTCCACCCCTTAGGCAGGGTTCTAGGGCTCTGAGTCAACCACTGCCCCCCAGAATCCTCCTTGTACAGGGGCTTAGGGGCCACCACCCCAACTTAAAGCCACTCTCTGTCCACAGACCTTCATCGTGCTGAATAAAGGCAAGACCATCTTCCGGTTCAGTGCCACCAATGCCTTGTATGTCCTCAGTCCCTTCCACCCTGTCCGGAGAGCTGCTGTGAAGATTCTGGTTCATTCATATCCTTTGCAGTGAGACCCTGCTGGGTGTCTCCTCTGGGCCCTACGCGGGGTGGGCAGGGTGTTTGGGGCTGAGAGTGGTGCGGGTCTCTGAAGACCTAAGCATCACGGTCATAGCCTAGTGGCTGGTCGGAAATGTAGGGCCCTTGGACCCCACCCCGGACCTGCCAAATAAGTGTCTGCATTTCAGCAACATCCTGGGGGATTCTTGGGCACGTGAAAGTTTGGGAAACCCAGCTTCAGCAGAGAAGCATCCTGGCAGCCAGGCTACTGAGGGTCCCAGAAGACAAGAGTTCTGCCAATGTCCCCTGGCTCTGCTTTGGCTCCCAAGTCCCCTGCCACTGCCTCCACATCCCTGCGCAGGGACCTCAAGCAGGGCACCAGGGCTGAGCCAAGGAGAAACCACTTCCCAGTAAAGAGGCCTCTGCTTGATTCACACGTGGGCACCCTTCTAGGGAGGCAACACTGGCTTTTTGATTAGGTGTTGACGAAATGTTTGCAGTTTCAGAGTTCTCTCAAAGAACTCTGGTTAGCATTAAATTATATAAACCACAGCCTAAAAAAGCTGCCGGCTGCGGAGGAACACTCTGGGAGTGCTGCAGTGTGACAAGGGACAGACTGACTGGCCTTTGGGCCCGAAGGGGGCCTCATTCAGGCCGCGTGGGATGTGGGACAGGACGCCAGCACCCAATCACGGCTGTTCAGTGGACTTCAGAAAGGGGGCCCCACAGATGAGGAGGCAACAGTGGGGAGGGTGGGGAGGCCGGTGTCCGGATGCAGTCAGAGGCATCTGTGTCTCGTGGTGCCGGCCTGGTCAGCCTTCCTTTGGCTGGCAGCTGGCTGGGCCATTAATCGAATCAGTGCTGCTGGGCTCTGCAGAGTGATTAGCCGTGGGCGCGGCAGGCTGGCCTGATAGAGCTCCCCAAGGTCCCCCCTCCATTCCCCACTCTGGGTGGACCTTTTCTGAGGCTGAGGCAAAGACCCATTAACCTCTGAGCAGGGCCGGAGGCTTCAGGAAAACAGCTGCCCCGTGAGGACCTAAGTCACCGAGACTGATGCTGACAGCTCAGGGGCTTTTCCTGGCCAGGCGGGGGTGAGGGATGCCCGTTCCAGGCTCCACTCACCTGTGCCCCAGTGCCCAATCCTCACCCCAGGGGTTAATTGGAGGAGTTCAGTGCCAAATCTGTTCTCTGCATGCAGACCCTTTCTCCCCGCCTCCGGCTCGCTCCTGCCTTTCCCCCAGGGTTCACTAGATGTGTGTGTCCAGGCAAAGTCCCATGTACAGCCACAGCCGTGGCAGCCTCGGAGAAGTCTCTGGGGTGGACAGACACCGAAGGGAGCGGTTCCGTTCAGGGAGCAGCCCGCCCTTCCTAGCTATATCTTCCTTTGTGAGGCAAGGGTAGTTCTGGATTGAATTTTGGGCCATTCTGCAACTGTTTCTAAACTTCCTGGAGACACCCAGCACTCTGCAGGGCACCCGGGGTGCATGGAGCTGAACAAGACCCTGTCCTTGCCCCCTTAGGAATTGTACCGTCCCCTAAGACTGATAAGACAGCTACAGGAATAGTTGTCATTCCTGCCAGCAGGTAGGCACGGGCTGGTGAGGACAGCACAAAGAGAGGAGGCAAGGCCGGCCTCCGCTCCAGCTCAGAGCTGGTCTCTGCCTCATTCCGTGGCCTCCCTGAAAGCATGCTCCAGCTCCCACCTGGGGCTTCTCCTCCAGGTATCTAACCAACCCAACACTGTTTGGCAGCTGGGGCGCCTCCAGGGATACAGCGGCAGGCCCAGGATTCCTGCAGGGCCCTGAGCTGGGCCCGGGGTGGGGGTGGCCAGATGAGGCTAGGGAGGTGGTTGGGGAGCACTGGCGCCCACAGCCTGGCCAGAGGGTCCCTTGAGCAGTGACTGAGGCTGTGCGATGCTGCTGGTGTCCCCCCTGCTTCCCCATCCCCACCACCACCCCCACCCCCACTCTGGCACGACCGACCCTGAGGCCTCAGAGCTGGCCTGTGTCCCCCAGGGCAGCTGCCCCAGGGAGGTGGCTTGCCATGGTTGAGGCCCTGAAGTGGGCTCCCAGGGGCTGCCTGGATCCTCCAGCTGCCAGGGATTGGAAGCACTCCGATGGCCCTCAGTAGCGCCCCTTAGTGGGCTCGGGGGCAGTGGGGAGAGGAAGGGTCTAGATCTTCGAGGTTTGGGAGCCGCAGCCCCTCTGTGCCCTTGAGCCTTGCCATTCAGTGTGGCACACAGACAAGTAGCAGCAGCACCATGAGGATCTCATAAGAATTGCCGAGTCTCAGGCCCCACCCCAGAACCTGCATTTTCTCGAGGGCCTGGTGATCCGTGCACACAGCGCCCTGGACAGGTGTTTCCAGGTGTGGGTCTCTGAGGGTCATCTCAGGCTCACCTGGTAGTTTATTCAAAATGAGGATTCCGGGCCCTTTCCAGACCAGAAGCTCCAGTGTGAAGCCTAGGAATCCACAAACTCTCCGTGTATTTCTTTTTTTCTTAGTTGAAATGTAATCCACATACCATACAACGTATTGTTTTGAGACGTCCAACTGAGTGGATTTTAGTATAGTCCTACAGTGGTACAACCGTCCCCGCTATCCAATTCCAGAGCATGTCATCACCCCAAAAAGGAGCCTCGTGCCCCTTAGCAGTCACTGTGAATCTGCATACAGATTTCGTGTTCTGAGTAGTGAACTTTCACTCTGCTTACATTCTTTTCTATTGTAGTGAGAAAAAAAAAAACACAGAACATAAAATTCACTGTCGTGCCACGTTTAAGTGTAGGGTGCAGTGGTGTTTATGTGGAGTAGGTTTATGTGTGTATTGTCTTGCAGCAGAGATCAAGCATTTCTGCCAAACTGAAACTCTGTCCCATGCTTGGCTTATGTTTTCATATCCACTCAGATACCTCTGAGCCACCCATGGGTGCCCTTTGGGGCTCGGCCCTTTGGAAAGGGCCAGGGGACAGAGATGAACAAAGCAAGGGGCAGGAGGGTGGCCCCTGCTCTCAAGGAAGAAAACCCACTCACTAGGAATGAGGCAGGCATTCCCAGCGATCTGCTAGCAAGTGCCCCGTAATTCCACTCAGCTTTGCTCTGAGCGCCACGCTTGTTCAGCATCCCTGGGAAGTGGCCTAAAAAGTAAATATGGGTATGTAGAATTATTTTTTTTCCAATGTATTTTTGTTATAATCCTGCAGAATGTGTTCCTGCCAGGATTAAATAAAAGAAACCAACTGAATTCCCAATTCTACTGCAGTCACATTCAGAGAGGCATCACGTTCACACCGAGAAGCTTTCTGCCTTCCTGGGTGCACAGGGTCTGTTCACAAAATCCTCCCACGTTTCTCTTGCAGATTCAAATGGGCAATCAAACCACATGTTTGTGTGTGTTTGTGTGCGTGCGTGTGTGTGTGTGTTCCCTGAATGGCACAGATATATGAAAATGCCCCTCACAGCATCCCTTCTGTTCTCGAGGTTTCGTTGTTGTTGTTGTTGTTGTTTTTGACTCCTCGGGATCCAAAGACAGGCAGGCCAAGTTTAAGGCATTCCCCACCACCCATGCAGGCAGTCCTTGCTGGCATTTTAATCATGAGGCTGGGAGTGGGTGTTTGGGGACAATGACATGACAGGATTGAAGATGTTCAGCAGAGCTCAGACCTAGAGAACTGGCCTTTGCCTCTGCCCACACATGGGGCCAGCACAGTCATTGGCCTGAAACTGCCAGGCAGTGCAAACAGGTGTTCCCGGGGCTGGAGTGCACTTGACTCATCTCTCCAGTATTGGCTGCCTGCCGGGCTCCATGGGGGACCCGGGGATGCTCTGAGCAGAGTCACGTGGACTGGAGGCACCTGTAGGCAGGAAGAGAACACACACATACAGGAGTGATGGAGAATAATGGAAAGGTCCTCAGGTTTGGGAGAGCCAGGCAGGGTTTCCAGTGGTCAAGCAGCTCACAGTCTAGGGTTTGCTGCACCTTCCCCTAAGCCGTTGCCTTTGGTCAAACAGCCAGAACCCAGGCAGGCAGCTCCTGTCATTCCCCACCATGGGATGCAGACCGTGGCTGGCAGCACTCCAAAGAGCAAGCCGTCTTCTCTGGCTCTTCCCTAAGTCTTGATGACAGAGTTCAACTCACCTGAACCCTAGCTGAGTCTTTTGGTCCAAGGCAGCCTTTCCACTGCTGTTCTTGCCCAGGGGCCTTTTCTTCGCTCTAGTGAGAGCTGTTGAGGGGGTCTCCCCAGGCAGCCCAGCTTGCTTCACCATGACCAGCAGGCTGATGGATTGCTAAAGGAACCCTGTCCAGCCTTGGGTACCTGTCTAAACGCCTCCTCGAGGAAGCCTCCTGCCCAGCCCTAGGCAGGCCCCGTTTCTCATAATGTCCCATCTGGGAGCTGTTCCCTCCCTGTCTCCCACCCAGGGCCAAGCACACATGCTCTTTAGGTCTCTTCTTAAAAATGACAATTTCATCCCCTAACCCCCAACCCGGCAGGGTGGCAGTCTGCACACACTTTACAAAGCCTTTCACTCATTGGTTTTACTGCCCTGTGGGTGACAGAGACCAAGTATGAGGAGCAATACCCATGAGGCAGTGTGACTTGCCCCAGGCCTTCTGTCTGGAGGCAGCAGGATGACCCCTTCGTGTTCTCATGCAGAGACAAGGCTCAGAGTAGGGGGCCCTGCGCTGGGCAGGTGGGGGCTTGGAGCAGGGCCAGGCCATTGACCGGCTTTGTACTGACAGTCTGTGTCCCCTTCAACAAATCACCACAAATATAGTGGTTTGAAACCACAAAATGTAGCATCATACACTTGTGGAGGTCAGGAGTCCAGAAGGGTCTCACTGAGGGCGTGTAGGCGGGGCTGCGTTCCTCCCTGGAGGTACCAGGGGAAACTCTGGGCCTAGTCTTTTCCAGTTTCTAGAGGCTGTGTGGACTCCTTGGCTTATGATAGCCCCGTGTGTGAAGTCAGCAACCGCTGGTGGGATTCTTCCCACAGACAAGGCTCTGCTGCCAACCCCCTGCCTACCTCCTTCGCTTAGAAGGAGCCTGTGCTGACACTGGGCCCGTCCGGACAGTTCAAGGTGATCTCCCATCTCAAGACCCATCATTTAATCACATCCACAAATCCCTTTTGCCATATAAATTAACACTTGTGCTTGTCCGGGATTCAAATGTGGTTGTCTGCGGGCTGGGGAGGGCTCTTATTCTACCAGCTGTAGGAATCTCCTGCCTGACCTTGTGCCTCAGTCTCCTCGGGCATAAAATGCAGACAAAGTCCCTCCCCTCCACTGACCCCGCATAGGGTTGTTGGGAGAATTGAATTAGTTAATGGTTACAGAGAGCAGAGCCTGGCACCTAGGAAAGGCTCAATAAATATTTACTCTTAGGGTCATTACTTTCATATTTCAGGAATCACCTGGGATCCCCAGTAGTGGATCAGGTGGGAGGTTGGTGAATAAAGCTGGTTGAGGGGCAAGTTAACTGTCTGCCCAATAAGGACAGCCTTGGCACAGAGTCTGGGTGTGGGGAACATGTGCATGTGTGAGGGTCAGCCAGGGAGACCTGCCCACAGGCAGAAGGATGGGCAGCTCTCCAGCGGAGGGACACCACTCCCCCTACTGCTCCCTCCACCCCACCCCCAGCCACACCCCTTGCCTGGAGAGGTGTCCTCCCACCAGCCAAGAACCAGGACTTCCTGCAGCCATCTGCTTTAACTGAGGGAGGTTCCCAAAGCCTGATCCTCTTTCATCTCAGGTGAGAAATTGGAGAATTCATTATAAACTGGGGGTGGGGTTTGGCAGGCTATTTCCTAATCCCCTCAGTTCCCTAGAAGGGGAACTAGAAGTGTGGAGGTCTCACGCCTGCATTCTTTGAGAGGCATCACTCACCTCTCCTCCCTCCCCAGCTGGGGCAGTCCTGCACTCTCCCAGAAGTCAGCACCCTGACTTGGCTGACTGCACTGGTCTCCCCCTCAGTCCTGAGGCCGGGCCAGGCCTTGAAAATTGGAGGAGCTCTGCTAGGAAGGAAAGAGGCAGGCCCCTAGGGCTCAATTACTTCAGCTTCCTGGCAGCCAGAGGGAATCTCAGGTGGGCAGCTGCTGTGCACAGGTCTGGGGCCGGGCGCCACGTCGCCATGAGCCTGGGGGCAGCCACAAGGGGCAGGAAGCCCAGCCTCTCTTCTTGGGCTGGGGAGGGAATTTGTGAGAGCAGCCAAGTGTTCCCCGTTCTGACTCAGGCCCCTTGGGGGTCCCCTGCCCTAGTCCCTCCATGGCCCCAGGGTCTGCCCCTTGCTCCCTTGTAGGTCTTGTGGAGGTGAGAGAGGCCAGGAGGTCAGTCAGGGCTTCATTTGGCGTAAAGCAGCATAGAAGGTAGCCAGAAAGTTAGGGATGAGCCAAGGTCTGGGGCAGTTCAGTTCAAGGCCAGGGGCCCAGAAGGATGCCCAAGACCCAACATCTGAAGAGCTCCCCTTCTGATGGAGAACAGATGGGCATTACCGCTTAGGGGGCAATGGCACATTTAAGGAGAGGTGCCCCATGCCCTGGGGGTGCAGTCCCCTAGGAGTGAAAGCAGGCTGCTCAGAGGGGGTGCTCCTGTTCAGAAGGGGTGCTCCTGCTCCGAGGGGTGCTCATTCTTACTCAAGGCGGGGAGGACAGGTGCCCCTGCTCAGAGGCGGTGCACCTGCTGAGGAGTTTCTTGAAGGATGGGGAGGAGAGCACTGGGTGGGGCACGCGCAAAGGGCAGGAAGCAGTACGAGGAGCCATCGCCTGCATCCTCAGGGTTGTTGGGACAGCAGAACCTTTCAGAGAGGTCCTAGACCAAAGGTAAAGAGCCCCCCGGGGAAGTAGGGGAAAGAACTGGGAGCCCCACTGCCTGGGCTTTCCTCTCCCTGCAAGCAAGTGGCCCCTGAGGAGCAGTTTCCAAATCCCATCTCCCTCCCACGAGGCTGTGGGTCAAAACTTCTGTACTCTGGGGGTCTTCCTCCCTGCCCTCCAGGATGGACCCTACGTGGAACTCTGCAAATGGTGCCATGTCAGCTGTCTGGTCCCTGAAGGGACTGCAGAGCAGGGCAGGGCTCCTGCTGCAAGTGCTGAGGGGAGAGGTGGGCAGGGCCTGGGCCCTGGATCCCCCGCCTTGTTGATCTGGTAGCAGTGGTATGGCAATGACAATCGCAAGGGCAGGACCCTCGGGTGCCAGTGGCCTGCCGGCCCACTGCACGCAGCTTTCCTTGACCTCCGCGCCATGCTGTTCAGTATGCTGATCATGTGTACCATCCTGACCAACTGTGTGTTCATGGCCCAGCACGACCCTCCACCCTGGACCAAGTATGTCGAGTGAGTATCTTCAGGGCCTCTGTGGCTGGCCTCTCCCTCCCTCCCTTTCTGTCCCATACTGTGGCCCCGAAAGTCACCCCAGAAGTCCCAGGCAGGACTCGCCCACATGGAGGGTCCTTGGCTCGGCCCCTTCCCTCTCTGGCCACTCTTGGTCCCACCAGCTCCTTGCCTTGAGCCATGTCCACAAGGGAGGAAGCTCTCCAGGTTGGCCAAGTGGGAGATTCCTTCCTGACCCACCCTAAAGAGCACTGAGCTGGCTGAGGAAGGCTCTGAAATAAAATCCCGACTTACCGAGCACTAGGTGTGTGCCGGGCGCTGCCGTGGAGCAGTAAACCACATCTCCTCTGACCCTCCGGGCGGCGCCATTGGATGGGGACAGCCACTGTCCCCCTTTGACGGACAGGAAGCTGGAAATTGGAGGCGCACCTTGTCCAGCAGGGCATGGTCCAGGGGTGTCCCCACTTCACTACTATCTCTGCTACCTCCTGGGACCATTTGCTCAATTTCAGAAAACAGCTTCCAGTCCATCCTTCTCAAATGAGAGTACGGTACCCATAAGTTTCAAACAGAGCCGATAGCCCCTTGGGGCGCTTGGTGCCTGTTTTCAGGGAACTGACGGAATGTCAGGGACAGCCTCTCTTACCAGAGCGGCTTGCCTTGTGGCTCTCTGCGTTCGCCCAGGACTGCGGGGATGAAGGAAGCAGCTCATGGTCCCGGCATCTAGGCATCACGATTCTTCACCCCACCTAGCCTCAGGCATTAGAATCTCAGCCCCCTTCCCGAGTGCACTGGAGACAGCTGTACCCACCCACCTGTAGGTAGTTAAGAATAGACCATGCTCCTGTCACTAGTTGCTGAGGACCGACCAGCAAGGATGAGGGAGTGACATGATCTGAGCATCCTTACAGGGTAGACCCAGTGACCACCATATGCCCATGTACATGGCCCCCAGGGCTGGAGTGAAGAGAGAAGTCGAGGGTCTTCTTACACCAAGACAAGAGGGAACATGGAAAGTTCAAAGGGGCACATGGTGGGCGCTCAGCAATGCTGAGTCATCACGTGCAAAGATGCCGTAATTAGTCCCACGTTTAGACCAAGCCTCCAGCTAGGCCAGGGGGCATGGCCAGGGGTCTGGCCTGAAGGCTACTTAAGAGCAGAGCTATCCAGGGCTCAGGCATGCACATGAGGAACCTGGCCAACCTGGTCTGCGGGCTGCAGCCTCCCTGAAAAACCTTGTGTGTCTCTCCTCCCAGATACACCTTCACTGCCATTTACACCTTTGAGTCTCTTGTCAAGATTCTGGCTCGAGGCTTTTGCCTGCATGCTTTCACCTTCCTCCGGGACCCGTGGAACTGGCTAGACTTCAGTGTGATCGTCATGGCGTGAGTACCTTGCTCTCTGCGCTGTACTGTGTCTTGCCAGGCCGTAGTCAGGGACGTGCGCCGCCAGGCCCTCTCACCCCCTCACTGCAGGCTGCATATGGCTGGGGAGCAACCGCCTCACTGCTATGGCAAGAGGAAGACAGGATGGAGGCCCCCAGCCCCTCCTGGTGGGCCATGGCAGTCAAGCCCGCTGGCTCAGCAGTGGCCCTGTGCAGCCCTGGGCTCAGAATCCATTAAGATTCTGGCTTAGCGTCCTCTGCCCCCTCCGCGGTGGGAAACCAGTGTTACAGCCCCAGATCTCTGGAGCACTGTGATCAATGACCTAGATTCCAAGGTGATTAAGAATGAGTCAGCAGGAAAGACAAGGAGCCTGTAGAAGTGACCGGGCATCCCCAGGAGCCCACGCCGGACACACCAGCACCTCCGCTCTCTCCACTCACGGACTCCATATTTGGCACATTCTAAGGCACCTGGTCACTGGCATGATCCAGTGAGGTATCCTGGATGGAGATTCCTTGTCCCCATTTTACAGATGACAAAACAGATGCCAAGGACCCACAAGGAGCCTGCCAGAGAGTGAATGGGAATATCCCCGGCCTGCTGCCACGCAGCATCCTTGTCTAGAAAGAGATCCTCGCTGAGGCTGGGTTGAGGCATTCCCCTCGGGATGTGTCCACAACAGAAGCTGCATTCTGGAGGCAGTGACTGATTAGGGTCGGCCTCCCGGGTGGGAGCTGTGGCCTGGGCTCAGCCATCAAACCCTTTCTGGAAGCCTGATGTGTGTGCAGGCCTGGGCACCACACCCTGGCAGGGAGCGGAGCTGGTGGGCCCAGTACTTTGCCCTTGCAGGGCCCCTGTTCCCTGACTCGTGGAAGGATAGTGCTGGCCTCGGTGGTGTTGGAGGTTCAGTTCAGCGCCTGCTTTGTAGGATTCTTGGATTCACTGAACGCACCTGTTCATGCTGGACAAGGTCCGCCTCACCCGGGACGTGAGCAGCCCTGGCTGTGAGCTCAGCCATGCTATGGGGAAGAGAGGGGAGAGCTGGCAGCCAGACCCTGCTGATGGGGTGCTTTCCGGTGAGAGGGAGAGTCTGCTGGTTAGAAAATGCATCAGGACATCTGTTTCTCGGTACTCTGCTTGTGAGCTGACACCAGCCCACCGCCTTACAGGCGGGGAAACTGAGGCTCCGAGAGACACTGCCATTTGCCCAAAGCCGTTGTAGACTTAGGCCTGGGCAGAGCCGAGTGAGCAAGGGAGAGTGTAGCCAGAGAGAAGGCAGGGTGGGGGACAGCCCTGTGGCATTGAGGGCCGTGAAAAGAGCCATCAGGGGTTGAAAGGCAGGGAGTGACGAGACCTGAGCTATGTATCATAAGTTTGCCCATAAGTTTGCCCATAAGCTATCTATCATAAGTTTGCTGGGGGGCTATTTTCCTAGCCAGGAGAGAGATGGTGGCAGGGACTGGGGTTTAAGTAGAGAAGCTGAGGGACATGGTCAGATTCTGAATGTACTTTGAGGGTAGGGCTGACGGGAGACCCCAAGGTGGGTTTGGCTTGAGCAGCTGGGTGAACAGAGTTCCCGTTTGTTAACATGGAGGCTGACGGGAGGAGCTAGCCGAGGGAGGAAGGAACTCAAGCACCTAGATTGGAATGCATTAAGTCTGAAAGCATCCAGGGTGAGATGCGGAATAGGTAACTGGATATTCCAGTCTGGACTTCAGGAAAGAAGTCCGAGGTAGGGATATATATTTAGAACCCATCAGGGCGCAGATGAGACTGGCAGCCAGGAGACCAGATAGATGAATGAATCATCTAGAGTGAGCGTGGCCAGAGAAGGGACGGCGCCTGGGGACTGTACCTCAGGATGCTCCAACATCTCGAGGTCGGAGAAGAAGGGGTGAGCCAAGGAGTCTGGAGGGCACCGCTATGGAAGGTGGAGGAAAATCTGGACAGGGGACTGGCTGAGTGTGGCTACCCTTGAAAGATGCCCTAGGGAGGCTGAAGAAATCCAAGGCATAGACCATGGCAGTCCGAGACGTGACACCGCCTATGACCTTGATGCCACTGAGATGACCGTGACCCTGCTGATTGCCTTGACCCGACATGGGGGTACAGACAGGGCTGATTAGACAGGGCTCAAGAGACTGGGGCAAGTATAGACATGCACTTTGCAGGGTTAGCTGTAAACAGGACTGAAACTAGGATGCTGGGAGTGGGGAAGACGGGCAGAGCACCACTGGAGGGGTCTTTGTAAAGGAGATGTGGTGCAGGGGAGAGGGAGGCCTGATGGCGGAGGAGGGTGATTTGCAGGAGCAAAACCCTTGAGCTGGCCTAAGGGCCAGGAATTTAGGGCCCACGTGGAACTCTGGCCGTCAGCAGGGAAGGAAGAATTTCAGGTGGGTTGGGAGAGTCGGTGATGAAAGAAGAGAATTTCTCTTCTGATTGCTCGTATCTTCTCCACGGTAAGAAGTGGGATCATCAGCTGAGAACATGGAGTAGGGAGGCTCCTGCTCTTGAGGAGAGAAGGAAACCTCTCCATGCCGAGGAAGGACATTGCACTGACTTTGGAAGGGGGCAGGAGTGTTACGCCAGGCCCAGGCTCCGGAGTGCCTTTAGGAGGGGAGAATTACTCTTTGAGCCACTGGGGGCCTGGTGTCACAGGAAGGGGGCTGTGACAGAACAGGACACAGCATCTACCTGTGTCTTTCCTACTTCCCATCCTGGAGCCCGAGCAGGACTGTGTCCACCGCAGGGATGCTCCCAGACCCTGGGTCCCTTACCTAACCGTAGGTCTTTGGAAGATGTTCTGAATGACCTCAGGCCCTTAGTGAGTCCTGCTGTCTTATCCCATGAGAGAGTCTCTGTCTCAGTCCCCATGGGAGTCCACAGGGAACTGCTTCTTCCGCTTGGAATCACAGAGCAGGTGTGCTTTCCTCACCAAGGCCTGTCTGCCTGCCTTTGCTCTGAACCAGAACCGGGGGTGACAAAGCAGAACAGAGCCTTAGAGGCCAGCACACCATTTCCAAGTTCCTGAGCATCTCCGGGAAACGGCACTTGCTTCCCCTGGGGCGCAGGGACCCACTGGAATGTCAGGGATCTGCTGTGGGCTGGATTGGCCTGGCAGCTCTGATTGGTGGTGGCCCTGCCTTCGGAGAACAGTGGTGCCCTGGTAATGCAGTGAAATGCATCCTCCTATGGTCAAATGACTCTGTAAGGTGTTGGGGCAGGGGCTTCTAGAATAATTGAAGGAGCCTTGGATGGCAGAAGTGGTTGATTCAATGAAACTCCCCCTCCCCCATTTTACAGATGGGGAACTGAGGCTCCGAGAGAGCCTACCTCTTGCCCAAATTTGTGCAATGAATCAGCAGCCATGCTGAAACTAAAACAGGTCCCCTTGCTCAAGAGGCAAGCCAGGTCTAACGTTCCCACCTGATCCCCCCTCCCACTCAACATAGAGACTGTAGGAGGGTCTGGGTTGCCAGGAGGCCTGCCAGGCAACCCTCCAGCCAGAGTTCTTTCCAGGGCCCCTCCCCGGCTGGGCATTACCTGCCCGTTAGCACAGCCTCCCACCTCTTGGGGTTGTTATGGAAACCGAACCTGGAGGGGAAAGGAGGCAGGGCAGAGAGGAGAGGGTGGGCTGTACCTCTCTGCCCAGCAGCCCTGGAGGCTCCTGCTGTATTGAATAGGAGGGCTGCACAGGAAGATGGGGGTGGAGCAGGAGGGGGTCTGCCCTTCCTCCAGGTTCCTCTGGCTTCCAGAAGGGCTTCCCCTGCCCTGGGGCTGGTGTGCAGAAGTAGAATGGCCTGGAGGAACATTTTGCCAGCCTCACAGGGGCAGAGCTCTCTCTACCTTCAACCCGGCCACTCCCGAACCTGGCCCTTTGCCAAATACAGGGTCTCTCTGGCCACACATCCTGGAGCCCCAGGAGAGGCCTCACTGGGGGGTCTAGGGCCCCCATGTGGAAAGCAGCCAGGCCAAAGTCTCGGAATCAGCTGAAAGGGGAGGAGCCTCCATGTCACAGGCATGGTCACGGACACACCAACACTTCACCCAGCCCTGTGTCTTACCTTTGAGACTTCCTTCTCCTCAGCATTGCTCTCCCACACGTGTCCTGGCTTCATGGGTGACCACCAGCCCTGCTCCCATTCTCAGCCACTCAGCTGGCCTTGCAAGCCTGCTAGGAGCACACACCTTGGGATCTTGGCTCCTCTGTGCTCAGTACCAGCTGCTGAGGAGGCGGACCATGAATGGAGGGCAAGCCTGAGGGTGTGGGAAGGCGAGTTCTGCCGTGGGACAGGCAGAGACAGGCAGAGTCCAAGCTTTAGACAGGCAGGGCTTCCCTGGAGTTGCGAGGGGACAGACAGGGTCTGTGAGGGACAAGAAGGGAGAAGCAAGGAGCGTTGGTTCCCTCTGATCTGCACAGTGTTCTACTCACTCCCTGGGACCAGAAGAGACACTCTTGGAACCAGTGTTCTGAGTAGAAAGACTGTTGTCCCAGGCCACACTTACTGGTCCATCAGCAGGAAATGGGGCCCAGGAACACTGCAGGCTGGACCCATGGCTTTGTGTCTCATGGCAACATGAGCAATGTTCTGAGATAAACCTGAAAGTCTTGTGGCAACACCATATCCAGATGGAAAGTAAAGCCTGAAAGAAGAATGTGGGACAGAGGTTTGAGAATCTGAGTCATCACAGAGGATGGAATAGCCAACAAAAGCAGAGAGGGAGCCTGAACCAAATTAATAGTTGTATATGGGCCAGAATAAGGGAGGTGACATCTACTCCCCATCGGAAGTTTACAAGCTGAAGTGAGTCCAGGGGAAGGAACAGAAGCCACACCACAAAAAGGATCTGGTGTAGCCAGAAGAAAAGCTCTGAGAATGTGTCTGCTGACTTCTCATCTCTGCAGGGCTGTGGTGAGTAAGGAGGGAGCAGGCATGGTCCACAGGGCCCCATGAGGAGACATAGAGGAATCTGGCGTCAGCCCAGTCAGAGAGCTGGACAAGGCAGGACCCGGCTGACTCCAGGATACTGAGTCCCTTGACATAGCCTACCAAGTCCTTCCCCGCAAATAACCACAGCTTGAAAGCAGATTCAGAAACTCTGAGCGGAATGGAAGGTCCTGGAGGTCCAGACTGACTAGCAGTGAGTCCAGCTGCACTATCAGCCCACCCTTGGCACTTGTCCAGCTTCATCGGTCTGCAGTCCTGGGTCTGATGTCACTCAGACACCAGGTCCGACACACTTGGTTAAAAACCAGACATCCTGAGTCCACTGTCCTTTGTTAAACATCAGACGCCTTTGCTTAAATGTCAGGTACCCTGGATGTGAAATCTTTGGTTAAATATCACAAGTCACTTGCCACTGTCCCGATGGTCCTGGTCACACACTGTCCACCCAGCTCTTAGACATCCTAGTCATGTGGCCCATCCACACACACCCTCACACTTGCTTGGGCAGTCCTCTTCTCCCCTTCCTCCTGTGCCTGTGAAGACCACAGATGGGTGACTGTCCCAGTTGTAGGTTGGAACGTCTCGACCACTCAGCTCTGCCGAGCGTCACTTGGGCCCAAGCCGACCTAGAGGGCTGCTCACTCCTGAGGTCCCTCCTCCTGTGAAGAACTAGGACCATCCTTGGAGGTCTCCGGAGGTCTTGGAATGAGACTGAGTTGGGGTACTCGGCCTTCAGAGACGCTACTACACCTGTGTGAGGCTCTCTACCAGAGACCGGGGCAGCCAGGCACGAGTTGATCACAGATGACAGAAGATGCAGAGCAAAGCTGGGACCAGAATGCCCCTTGGCTCCTCTGTCACCCGGCCATCAGGAGCACCTCGCAGAGAGAGCCGCCTCCCGTGTGGGGGCTTCCTGTATGGACATCCTTAAGTCATCTCACCGAGGGCCCGATGTCAGGAAGGTGGAGAGGAGGAAGAGAGCCTGAGGGAGCCCTGGGCTGTCGGCAGCCCTCCGTGTGGGAGGGGGAGAAGGGACTGGGCGGGTCGGGGAGGGCAGGCTGAGGTGCTGCTTTGTAATTCCCAATAACTGTGGTTTGATTCTGCAGGTATGTATCAGAAAATATAAAACTAGGCAATTTGTCGGCTCTTCGAACTTTCAGAGTCCTGAGAGCTCTAAAAACTATTTCAGTTATCCCAGGTAAGATGCCCAGATTTGCCTCTCAGATCTCAGCTACAAGTGACTCTCTCTCTGTCTCCCCTCCCCCCTTCCCCCATCGTGTGTCTCCTACTGGCGTGTTGTCACTGTCTCGTGTGTGACTTTCCCTTGTTACAGATACACAACTGAATTTGTGGACCTGGGCAATGTCTCAGCTTTACGTACCTTCCGAGTCCTCCGGGCCCTGAAAACTATATCAGTCATTTCAGGTGAAAAATCAGGTTAAACGCCAAGGCCGGAGGGACACGCTCAGGCCTTCCCAGCCAGCTGGGCCCAAGGCGGCCCTTGGGAAGGTCCCTCCAAAGGTGCCTGTCACCAGAATACGTTTCCCAGAGCTCGGCTGTGGGGGCTGTCAGCGGCGGACATGGCTGTCCCCTCAAAGCCTCACGAGGGGCTTCGGGCTGCCCTCCCCATCAAAGCCCACCCTCACAGATGCCAGGGGGCACACAGCTCCCACGGCAGGTCCTGGATTGAACCCCAATTCTTCCCAAGATGGTGAGGTCCTTCCCAAACTGAACTCAGCGCTTTGAAGAGCTGAAAGCTTATATGTGAATTGCTTTGGCCAGAAGCATCACGTTCTGATAAGGAAACCAAAGAACTGAGTTTGAGGGAAAACACAGGCCCACAGGACTGAGGGCCCAGTCCCTGCGTTGGGCCCCCTGTGGTGACAAGGGCACAGCTGCCGCCGCAGCCCCATTTTGTGAAACAGTGTACTCTGCGGACAGGCGTCATCGGGCCTTGGCGTCTACCAGCCCTCGCTGCATGGCGCGGTAGAGGCGTAGTGGACCGTGCATGGTAGCCTCGGGAAGCAATTCTCCTTGACAGATGTTGGCAACTGCACCCGGGAAATCCAAGCCTGGGAGGCCTCTCTAGAAAGCCGGCCTACCCCAGCCATCCAGGAAAGCTCTCAAAAGGCTTATGATGATTTCACAGCCCACAGAGCAGTGCCCAGAGGTTCCTTCCAGAGTCTTTTCTGAATGCAGCCACACTCAGAACAGGAGAAGGCCCTTCTTTGAAGAAGGCAGCTGGAGACAGGTTGGGTATGCCACCGATCTGGGGAGGTGTCAGAGCCGAGGGAAGATTTAAGTGAAGCTGATTGTTGCATCCACTCCTGATGTGGAAAGCCATGGGTCCTGGGCCCTTCATCTCCATATAGCTGTTGCTGCCCCCAAAAAGGCAGGGGCCCTGCTCTGGAGGAGTTCAGTCTCTCCCCTGATGGGGTTGTCTTGGAAGAGGACCCCCATCCACTTATGCTGTGTTCAGACCGAGCCTCAGAATGTTCCTCCTGGCCTCTGAACCCCATAGGATGTGCTCCCTGCCAGTGCCCCAGACCCCTCCTAAGAGTCAGTAGCAAGTGAGACAGTCTGCCCCCAGTGCACACAGTCACCTCCTTTGAGACAGGTGTTGTCATTGGCCCGGGTGCACACAGACATGCTTAGAAGCCTCAAGGTCTGTCCTCTAGGGTCCGAGGGACAGCCTCACATCATCTGCTCACAAAATTAGAGAAGCACACTGACCACAGCAGTTGAGAAAAGGCAAGTTTCAGTCTGTTTTATAAAAAAAGGCTAGCAAAGGAAAATATTTCTCGGAGTAAAGGAGGAAGCCTGCCAGCCTCAACCCAGGCCTTCTTCAAAGCTGTCAGCAACCCAGTGAGGAAGCAGACAGTAGACCCTGAAAGTGGTCATTAGAACAATGCTGTGGTCAACATTATGGAAGTCTTCCCAGAGGAGGTGTCCCTTGACCTGAGGCTTAAAGAGTCTTGGCCTTCTCCAGACCTCGGTCTCCTCTCCCACAAAATGAGAAGGAAATCAGAATGGTTGCTTTCCAAGGGCTCTTTGCCCAGCCTGTTAGAATTTCGGTGGCAGGAGAGTTTCCCAGTTGATGCCCAGGACCCTTCCCTTCTTGGGTCTTTCTTGAAAAAATCCTGTTACTTCATTGGACTTATTCTTGCCAGAAGTTAACTCTCTCATCAGTATGAAAAATGTTTAAAGGACTAGGTCTGTGCTCACCAACTGATTGTCTCTGTGGACACTATGTCCACAGGCCAGGAAGGGCTTCACGGGGGCCTAGAACTGGTTGCTAGTTGAGGCAGAGTTGGCCGCCCACCACCTCTCGCCTTGTGCTCCCTGCCTCATACAGTACGGGCCAGGTCTCCAGGCCCAGTGAGCAGAACCAGAGTGTGCTCACTGAGGGGGTCCTCGAACCTCTGCTAGAGATGGGGCATGCCGGGCTACAGAAGGGGGATCCCACCGCCACCACCTCTCCAGGCCCAGACCCCTGCAGGTTCACACCTGCCCAGGGCAGTTACCAACATCTGCCAGGACAATTTCTACCGAGTACACTGAGTGCCTCTGAGCTGTGGGCAGGCAGCAGTGCTGGGGCACAGTGGGAGGACTTCATCCCCAGTCCCATGGTTGCCCATTGCTGCCTCCCTGTCTCGAGGTCATGGGCACAGCAGCTGTGGACACAGCCACCACAGGTGCTCCTAACACATTAACCAGCTGGACGATGGATGGATGGAGCTTAATCTAAGATCTGGCCGCTTGATTGGGGGGTGGGGAGTGGAGGCAGGAGGCAGGGCTCTGCTGCTGGCAGAGAAGCCCTCTTCCTCCCAATGCTCTGCTTAGACTTGTCATAGGACAATAGCTCAGTGTCAGACCAAAGGCGTCTACACGTGCTTTTCTGTCACTTTGCTGTGTGATGCTGGCTTCTGCAGGGAGCTGGGCCGTGCAACTAACACGTCATGGCCTTGGCTTTTGGGAATGGGTTGGAAGGGGATGGGTCCCAGACAGACAGGGCAGGGGAGGAAAATGCAAAACAGGTCAACCCCTCCCCTGCCCTTGAAGCTTTTCCAAAAGGAGGTCCCTAGCCAAAACAGACCCTTTAGAACATTACCCACTGTGCCCTTGCCAGACCTCCTGATTGCCACCCCAACCGTCCTCCAAGAACACACCACATTCCTCTATCAGGAATGGCTTGTCTCTCCCCATTTCAAGGATCAAGGGAGATTCCATTGCCTGAGAATGGGCCTGGACTTCGGTGTCCTTCCCACAGATTACATTTAAAGGCCTACGTTGGGACCAGCCAGATGGGGACAGGCTTTGAGCGTTTTCTTCCTCAGGAAACCAGCATTTCCCATTTCATATGTGGTTAGTGGAGAGCAAAGAGGCCTGGGCCCTTCTGACTGTCCCTGGGAGAATCAGGACGCAATCACAGTGATGGAGGAAATGGGGGCTTTGGTCTGGAAAACCTGAGAGAGGCCTCCTTCACCTGCCCCCACCTCACGATTGCCCATCTCTCCCAGCACCCCGTCAGGCCCGGCCCCACCCAATGGAGCAGGGAGCACGGGGCCTTGGTGAACCCCCTGCTCATTCTTGCCTTCCCCAGGTCTGAAGACCATCGTGGGGGCCCTGATCCAGTCTGTGAAGAAGCTGGCCGATGTGATGGTCCTCACAGTCTTCTGCCTCAGCGTCTTTGCCCTCATTGGCCTGCAGCTCTTCATGGGCAACCTGAGGCACAAGTGTGTCCGCAACTTCACGACGCTCAACGACACCAACGGCTCTGTGGAGGCCGAAGGCCTGGTCTGGAAGTCACTGGACCTCTACCTCAACGACCCAGGTGCAGGCTCACTCTGTGGCCTGAGCAGGGTTTTATAAGGCCACACGAGCCTCACTAGAGGTCAGACCTCCTCCCAGTGGCCGTTCAAGCCCTATCTGAGCCCCTGGAGACCCAGAGGTTTGCTCAGGGATCCCAGCCCCTACCCTTTGGAACTCCAAGAGAGGACAGAAGGGGAGCAGACTTTGGGCCTGCCCTCAAGAGTTCTCAGGCTAGATGGCCAGACACTTGAGGAAAAGGAAGGATGGAGTTAGCTGGAGAGGCAGACAAGGGATGGCAGCTGCTGTGGCTAGAGGCGGGGACGGACGCCAGAGAATCAGACATGGGGAGAAGACCAGCTTGCCTGCCTGGGAAGGAGTGCTGGTGGGAGAAAGGGTGAGACATGGTGCTGGGGTAATCTGTGAGGCTTCAGAGGGCAGGCCCCACCTGTGGGGCACGGGATAGTTCACTCGGCTTCCATGTTCCTTGCCAGAATGTTAATCCCATGCACGTGCCCCCTGGAGCCCCGAGAGAGTCAGAGCAAGCTCAGTGATTGTACAAAATCACATGAGCTGCTCCTGTCATTTCACTGATATGTGGTTTTCTGCTTTCCAGGCTGATGGCCAGCACCTCTCTTAAGTAATGCCATCAGTCTGATTCAAAGGTAGCCAGTGGTGTAAGGCCAGATTCCAGGCCAGGGACATTCTGAAATTAGGGCTTCTTCCTTACAACAGCAGTCCACGCTGGAAAAAGAGATGGACCACAACTCAGGGATTCCATTTGCTTATGGCTCAGCTGTGGCCCAAGAGCGGTGGTTCCAGAACTTCCGCGTGTACCTGGAATTTAGCACATGTCACCTGAGGGCTCCAGAAAGCACATACTGCTGGGCGGCACCACCGGGGTTCCTGAGTCAGTAGCTCTGGGGCAGCATTCGGGAAGTTACTTTTCTCAGCAGGTCCCCATTGATTTCCTGCTGCCGCTGGGCTGGGGACCACAGTTTGAGAACTGCTGCCTTAAACTAAGGCAGGTAGTGGTAGGTGATGACCAGAGGGGAAGGGACAGGACTGGGTGTTCCATCCGTCACCGAGTCCAGCCCCAGCCCTGTGTGAGCAGACCACAGTATCACCACAGTGACCATAGTGTGTATCTCTTGCACGAAGAAGTGGACCCAGACAGAGCTGGGCAGTAGCCTGCCAAGACCATGCTAGGACTCAGTAGCCAAGCTGGGTCTCTGCCTAGACCCCTGCCTCCCGGTTCAGGGCCTCTCTTGGCCCTGGGTGTCCTACTGAGTGGCTCAGGACAGGGTACAGAAGCTCCCTGTGGGGACTTCCTGAGTCTTCCGAGAGTTGGGGGGATGCTGGCAGCTGAATGTCTGAGGGGGAGCCGAAGGCAGGCTGGGGAAGCAGCTGGAATTGCATCAGACCTGGCCAGGTAGAGGATAGGGGTCAGGGCAGGGGCAGAGAAGAGACCACCAGTAGCATCTCTGCCTCCCCAGAGGCCTGGGCACAGCACGGGAACCCCGGGAGTCTGGGCCACACATGTCCTTCACCATCGGTTGTTCCTCTTTCAGGAAATTACTTGCTGAAGAATGGCACCTCTGACGTGTTACTGTGTGGGAACAGCTCTGATGCCGGGTATGTGGCACCCGCCCCCCAGGGCCACCTCACCCAGCAAGGGTGAGGTGAGGTGAGGGCGGCAGGTTTAGGGCCTCCGCTCCTCAGTGCTTTCTCAGCTGACTGTGCTTTCAGTTTATGCCCTGACCCCAGACCTTCCCCTGCCTCTGTTCCCTGCTGGGGCCCTGGCATCTTGTCACCCCACCCCCACCACAGGGGAGGCAGCTCTGAGGCAGTAACAGATGAGGGCTCAGATCTGCAGGGAGGGGGACAGAGCCCAGTGCCTCCTGCCAGCCCAGTCCTGGCTTTTTTCCCTCATGGAAGTCCCCCAGGGCTGCTTCCTCCCACTCCAGTCTTCTCTCCTTCCCTATGCATCTGTCCACTGGGTCAGGAGTAAGTGTGGCTTTCCCCAGCAGCCTAAATTCTCCTCAGGGCCAGCACAGCTCGTACCTGCAGCCTGAGTGGGGTGCCCAAAGATGCCCCATAGTCATGGGCAGCTCCCAGGGCCCTGTACAGATGGGGTCTGGATCAGTGTGACCGTGACACAGTTCAGGGAAGGGCGGGACCCACAGACTCACCTGGAGAGGGAAGGGCTCTGTGGGGCTGCAGTCCCACATATCTCGGTAGGAAGTTTCAGCCCTTCTTGTAGCTGAAGAGATTGTCTGGAGGGTCTTAGGACATGAGCAAGGCACAAAGGCTGTGTCCTCCCGCTTGCCAAGTCCCCTTCCCCAAACCTTCTGTCTCTCACACTCGTGAATCCAGCCCAGTGGTCCATCTTTGGAAGAGAGGCTGTCCCATCTGGCTCTGTGAAACATCAGTCCGCCTCACTCCGCCTGTGTGCACCGTCGTGCAAATGGCACATTCTCCAGACATGGCCAGGCCCCGGCCCATCCACCACCGGCCCATCCACCCCCACATCATCCTTCAAGCCGGTGGCCTGGCATTTGCCCTGGTCTCCATGCTCTTCAGCTCTGTACTGTTCCCCCAAGCCTCACTGTCCTCTCTGCACCACATGCCAGCTCTGTGCTCATCTCCCCGTGGGGTAAACAGCCAGAGGAAAAGACCGTGAGCCAGGCCCTTGGCACTTCCTCGGTGAGGGAAGAGGTCATTCACATAAGCAGCAGGGATGGGTATCATGTGGGCGGAAGGGAGATGGATTAAGGCCTAGATGAATACAGATGGGTAGAGAAAAGACAGAAATGGTGTCCCAAGGGGGAGGCACGGCAGGAAAAGTCATGGCCCCAGGACAAACAGTGTGGGACTAAGTTCGTGGAATTCAGCCTCACGAAGCCTTGGGGCATGTGCTGGGCTGCCCAGGGATAAGAGTCAGGCCCAAGGGGCATCTTGGCGGGGGATGGGGCTCTGACAGCATGGAACAGAGTCTGTGTGTCTGACTGCAGGACATGTCCTGAGGGTTACCGGTGCCTAAAGGCAGGGGACAACCCTGACCATGGTTACACCAGCTTTGACTCCTTCGCCTGGGCGTTTCTTGCACTCTTCCGCCTAATGACTCAGGACTGCTGGGAGCGCCTCTACCAACAGGTACATGGGTGCCCGGGCAGCAGAAACACCAGGAACAGGCTGGGGACCCACATCAGGGACCAGGATGCACAGGTGATTAGCCAGAAGTGGCCCCAGCAGCTTCTCCACTGGCAAGAGCTGGGGGAGACTCAAGGAGAAAGACACAGGGACCTTGTGTCTGAGGGATGGGACACAGCAAAGAAACTTTGCTGGTAAACAAGTACTCATCCCTCTATGTGGGACACTGTGCTCTGGGAGTGCAACATTTCACCCTATGTGATGGCATAGTCCCCTCTATGCATGCAACATTTCCTCTGTTGACTGGAACACTCTGCCTCCCTCTGTGGGTGTGACACTATCCCCTGTGTGTAGGTCGTTCTGCTCTATAGATTAGGACACTTACCTCTAAAGATAGGATATGCTCTACTCCCTCCCCAGGCTGTGGCCATTTGAACCCTTGGCATAGGCAGACTGAACAACTTAAAATTCCATGACCATGACCTAGAAGGGGTCCCAGTGAAGATAACCTCTATCGCCTTACTCCCCCAGACCCTGAGGTCTGCAGGGAAGATCTACATGATCTTCTTCATGCTTGTCATCTTCCTGGGCTCCTTCTACTTGGTGAATCTGATCCTGGCTGTGGTTGCCATGGCCTATGAGGAGCAAAACCAAGCCACCATCGCTGAGACCGAAGAGAAAGAAAAGCGCTTCCAGGAGGCCATGGAGATGCTCAAGAAAGAGCATGAGGTGGGTGAGCACCAGCCAAGGAGCCTCTAAGCCAAGCCCTTTCCTAACTGTGGGTGCCTATAAACCTGCTGGGCAAAGCTGGTGCTTATAAACCTGGTGCATGCTGGGTAAAGCTGGTGCCTGCTGGGTAAAGCTGATACCTGTAAGCATGGCATCTGCTAGATAAAAGGCAGGTCCTGCTGGGTAAAGCTGGTGCCTATAACCCTGCCGCCTACTGGGCAGAGCTGGTACCTGTAAGCATAGTGTGTGCTGGGTAAAGTTGGTGTCTGCGAATGTGATGCATGCTGGGTAAAGCTGGTGTCTGTGGGTGTGAGGCATGCTGGGTAAAGCTGGTGTCTGTGGGTGTGAGGCATGCTGGGTAAAACTGGTGTCTGTGAGTGTGATGCATGCTGCATAAAGCTGGTACCTTTAAGTATGGCATCTGCTAGATGAAAGGCAGTTCCTGCTGGAAGCTGGCATCTGCTGGGTGAAGATATTTCATGTGACTGTGGTGTCTGCCAGGTAAAAATTTGGAACCTGGGTAAAGACAGTGCCTGTTCATGAGGTGCCTGCTAGGTGAAAATGGTCCACACTGGGTACAGGTGGGCACTGTGAGTATGGGGCCTGCTGAGGGAAGTGTTCCCTCTGACCATGGTGTCTTCTGAGAGAAAACAGTGCCTGCTGGGTAAAGGTGGTAGCTCCTGCTAAAGGAGCCTAGTGCATGCTGAATAAAAGAGAACCACCTGTCCATGGACTGAGTTTATCCTAGTCAAGGGATACCTTCTGGTAGCTTGATGAGGAAGGTCCAAGTTTGGAGGCCTGAGCCAGCTCAGAAAGTAAGCATGGCAGCACTGGTTGCCCATAGCCCCACACACAGGTGCTGCAGGCTAACTATTGAGCCAGCTGTTAGACATCCACTCTCTTCTCACTGCCCCAGGCCACCACCCTCAGCACCAGTCTGGGCCAGCAGAAGCTTCTAGAAGATCTCCTGCCCTCCAGTTCTATCACTTCCTCTGCTTGTCAGCACTCCCCCTTCAACTGTCCTTCACACTCCCCTCTTCCAAGAGCTACCCACCTCAGCCACTTATTTCCTCTTCCCTGGACTTTGATTTTTGTCAAAATATTCTGGGTCTGTTTGAGCTCATGTCTCCCTGATACCCTTGTCGGCGGTTAAGTGTGCAAGTCTACTTCCTGATGGGGAAAATGAGATACTGAGAGTTGCCTCACCTGCCATAGCCTGAGGCTGCACAGAGTCTCAATGACCAAAATCATCCCTCTTCCACCTTTTCCAGGCCCTCACCATCAGGGGTGTGGACACCGTGTCCCGCAGCTCCTTGGAGATGTCCCCTTTAGCCCCAGTAAGCACCCATGAGAGAAGAAGCAAGAGGAGAAAACGACTGTCTTCGGGGACAGAGGAGTGTGGGGATGACAGGTTCCCCAAGTCCGACTCAGAGGATGGTCCCAAAGCAATGGTAATTCCCAGCGGTGGCTCTGGCCCTTTCAGGGTGGGTTTGGCATCAAAAGCCCATTATGTTGGACCCCTGGTGCCATCACAGCCCCCCATGGTTGCTCCTCAGGGAAAGTCTCCTTAAGCCCACTCCAGGCCCTTCCCGTTTCCCATGACCGTTCTTGGAGTGGAGGAGGTCTAGGCAGAGAGACGAGCTAGGTTTGGGCATTGTGAAGTCCCCAGCACTAGGACTGGGGTTGGAACTGGGGGACACCCTGTGGTGTGGATTGGGTGCCCAAGGACATGCCCATATGAGTCAGATGCATGGCTGATGGCCCCCAGTCCTGCTCAGGCCAGGCCTGTTTGTACCACCAGGAGCTTTCCTGTCTCCTTCTCCACCCTGCCCAGCCATAGGCACATCTTCAGGCCCAGGCAAGCTTGAGTCTCAAAGCCCCAGACGCACAAGCTTTAAGGGAGCAGAAGTCCTAGATGAGGCAGGATTGTCTCTACCCCCTTCTCTGAACACAGCCTAGCTCAGCAGTACCCCCCTCAACCCCAGTTCCTGAGTGGTCGACAAAAGCCCTCAATGCTTGGGGCACCTGGGTGGCTCAGTCAGTTAAACATCCGACTCTTGATCGCAGCTCAGGTCTAGATCTCAGGCTCATGAGTTCAAGCCCTACTGGGCATGGAGCCTGCTTCAAAAAAACAAAAAACAAAACAAAACAAAACAAAAAACAACTCTCATTGCTGTGAGAGAACTTCTCAGTCTCAGTCTCAAAGAACACCACAGGGGACAGGCTGCGAGCACATGAAGAGCTGGCTTGGTCGTGTGCCTTCTCCCTGTGCCCCCAGAATCGTCTGAGCAGCGCACATGGCCTCAGCAGGACGTCCATGAAGCCGCGCTCCAGCCGCGGGAGCATTTTCACCTTTCGCAGGCGAGACCTGGGCTCAGAGACAGATTTTGCAGATGATGAAAACAGTACAGCGGGGGACAGCGAGAGCCACCGCACGTCACTGCTGGTGCCCTGGCCTCTGCGCCGGCCTAGTGCCCAGGGACAGCTCAGTCCAGGGACTTCGGCTCTCAGTCACGCCCTCAATGGTAAAAGGAACAGCACCGTGGACTGCAACGGGGTGGTCTCCTTGCTGGGGGCAGGCGACCCCGAGGCTACCTCCCCAGGGAGCCACCTCCTCCGCCCTGTGATCCTGGATCGCCCCCCAGACACGGTGAGCCAGCCCCACATTGCAGCCCCAGGCCAGATCTGGTCTCCCAAACTGGTCACCAGTGACCGGTCCAAAATTCTCACCTAGTATTTACTGAGCACCTATTGTATGCCGGGCTCTGGCGGTGAACAAAAAAAAAAAAAAAAAAAAAAGCCAAAAAAATTCTCTGCCCTTGTAGAACTTTCTTGATAATGGAGGCAGATGGGCAAACATCAAAGAAGAAGAAAAATAGGCATATATATCTATACGGTGTATAATGTTGATAAACAGGGAAGAGAGTTAAATATTTAGCAACTGGTAAGGCCCGGGCACTGAGATGCCACCGTGGCACAGGACTGGTATCCTGAAGGCCCCGTGTGTGCCAGGGGTTAGCCCGTGGAGTTGCTGGATCTTGGGCAATGCAGGGGCTTCTAGGAAAGAGGCCAGAATGGCCAGGGGATACTTAACGGCATTCTGGACAACAGTTATTCATCAAGCCTAAATATTTCAGTATTTGCAAAATGGTAAACATTAGCACAAGTAATGAGTGCTGTGGGAGGGCACGAGTAAGGGTGGGGGAGCGGGAACCCTTACCCATTAGGAAGCATTTAAACAAAGACCTAAAGGAGGCAAGGGTGGGAGCCCAGGCTGCTTTCTGAAACTGGGCGTGGGGGGTGATACAGCACCCAGATTCTAAACACAAGCTGGATTTGAATTCCAGCTCATAGTTTACCAGCTGGATGGCCGTGGGCAAGTTGCTTTCTTCCTCTGTGTGTCTGTCATCTGTAAAATGAATTAAAAACACCCATCTCAGATTGCTATCTCCTATGGGTACAGCAATCAGGACATCATGAGTATGTTGATGCTGTGATAATGTTATAATTATACACCATCATTGTATCATCTGAGGGAAGCATGTTCCAGGCCTCAAGAGCACCCAGTGCAAAGGCACTGAGGCCCTGAGAGTGCCCAGCCTATTGAAGGAAATTCCATGAGGTCAGAATGGCTGGAACCCATGGAACAAAGGTGAAAGCTGTTGGAGTTATCATCAAAAAGGCAGCAGAGCGACAGGGCAGAGCGTGAAAGGCCAGCCAGAGCTCAGATCACTCAGTCAGCCCTGGAGTGTCCTTGCTGACCCCTACCCCCAACACAGTGCCCAGAGCAGCCCACCCAGGGAAAGGGCACATGCGTGGTTTATACCCAAGGCCTGCAGGAGACAGAGGAGAAGAGACTTCCAGAGGAAGCTAGAATAAGACAGGGAGCCTTGGTTGGGAAGGTGGGGCTGAAGAGAGAGGGCTCACAGCCAAATGGGCTGTTTTGCTCCAGCTCAGATGGACTCTGGCTGCGGGACTTGGCACAGGTTAATGAATCGCTCTGTGCCTCAATTTCCTCATTGGTTAAGTGGAAATGAAATTAATATCCACGTCAACAGTTTGCGGTGAGGACTAAAAGGGTTAAGACCTGTCTGGTGATTAGACTGGTACTTGCCTCATGTTCGAGTTATTACTGTTATTATCTGTTACCCTTTATTACTGAGGAGGAAGGAGTAAAGACTCCTGGGGCAGTCACAGTCCTCTAGAGCAGGGAGTGAGAGAGAGGGTCCTGAGAGAGCACTGGAGGCAGACTACCCCTTCCAGGTGCACCTGGAGGGCCCTGGCTGTCACCTGGAGGGTGGGACGTCTGGCCTTTCAGGAACACTGAATCCCGGTGGCCTAGGCCCTCCTGCACATCTCAGCCGTGTGGAATCAGGTCAGCAGCCCAGAACACTAATAGAATTTCCTAATCTCATTAGGGAGAAAATCATCTCATTGTGCTGCACATGTCAGAAGGAATCCAAGTTCAAACACTTCATTACCGGACACTCTGACTTCACCCTTTCTCACTCCTGTGGGGCCCACTGGTAACCTCAAAGGGATTAGCGGGCCAAGGGGCTTATTTGCAAACTTAGAGGAATTATCAGACCAAGATGGAGACATTGTAAAGTTAAAGAGATTAGCGGGTTGTAGGCCCCGGGGAGTGCCTTCTCTGCCTCCACCGGGTCCCCAGTGAGGCCTGTCTGCCCACTTCTAAAACTGAAGGCAGGGCGTAGTGTGGGACATATAGTGGGCACTCAACCAAGAGGGGGGAAGAAGGGCCAACCCACCAGACAGCTCATGTTTAATTTATCCAAGTCAAGGGGGTAGAGGGTGAAGCTTTCCTTTGTCTACCGGAGAGCATGTGGCCCAGAAGGCCAGATGGGGGTGGGGAGCAACAGCCTTCTCCCTACCCCCCAACCCCCATCTAGCTAGTTAGAGGCAGGGCTAGAGCTTAATCCAAGCCTTCTGATTCTCAAGTAATTATCCATGCAACCAACATTTGTCCAATGCCAGCCTGCCACATTGAATTGGAGGCTACAGGGATATCGTGAACAGAACAGATGAGCGCCAACATCGTGGAGTTTACTTTGTAGTCAGGAAGACAGATGGCAAACTGGTCAACGTTTCCAGGTTAGCAGTAAGGGTCATGGGACAGACAGTTGCTAGGGGGAGGGTTGGGGATGGCTCTTAGAATCCTCTGGAAGTCCTTCCAGAGGAGGTGACATTAAAATTGGCAGGCATATTATTTGAGAGAGCCAGCTACAAAGATGTGGAAGAACAGTGTTGCAGGCAGAGGGAACAGCAAGTACGAAGGCCCTGTAGGAGAGGAGGCTTGGCATGTTCGAGGCATGAGAGCCAGGCAGGGTCAGGTGTGATGGAAACAGCTAGGAGGGATACAGAAACACTTTTGGTGAGTTAGGATTTGGACTATACAGTGCCTCGTAGGTTATAAAAGAGTTTGAATTTACTCTGAGTTAGATGGAAAGCATGGGGAGAGGAGAAGCGAGGATTATCGTGGCCTGATTTCCTTTTTAAGGGAATCCCTTTCTGCTGTGTCGGGAAAATGGAAGAGAAGATAGCATGCAGTAGGGCAGTGTAACAGCCAGCTCCTGCTCCATAATGCTGTGTAACGAACACTTCCAAAGTCAGTGGCTAAAAATAAGCCTTTATTCTCATGCTGACTTACCTTCCCGATGCCCGTGTTTTGGCTGGTCCAGGTCGGGCTTGGCTGGGCAGCTCTGCTTCTGGCTGCACGTTGGCTTGGCTCCTCACCATGGGTCAGGCTGAGGGCTGCTCTGAATGCCTCAGTGCTGAGGCTCAGGTCGAACATATGGCAGATACCTGGGGAAATTGTTTTCATAAATGATTACTGGAGCCAAAGCCAGTGTGTCATTAGTGAGACAGGGAAGTGTGCTTCCCCACAGTCGGAAAGCAATGAGGAAATATTTACTAAATAGTAACTCAGACTATCACCGTCGAGGAGGAGGTAGACTGCTTGAATACTTCCATGACCAGGAGCTCACTTCCTCACTAGGCAACATTTCAGGGCAGTCCCACCAATGGCAAAGATTGACTTTAACTGGAGTGCATATCAATTTGGTGACCACCCCAAGTCCTGACTCTGCCTCCCTGGGTAACCCAGGCCCCTCTGCCTTCTGACCTACAGAGATCATAGGGCCTCACACTTGCACACTGAACAGCCCCATGCCTTCTGCAGCCCCAGCTCAGGCTCTTGCACTGTGGTCACAGAGGGCCACGCTGATGGGAAGGCTTCATGCCCCGCCCTTTCCCCCCCACCCCACCCACCCCCAATACTGGGAGGCAGGGCTCTGAGTAAGCCTAGACAGTTCCTGCCACCACCTCCTTCTATCAGACACACCACATCTCTGTCTGCAGATCTGGCTCTTTTGCTTACAGAAATGATGCCAGCACATTGACAACGAATCCCACAGTGCAGAAGCGTACAAGCACAAGAAGACTTCTCCCTCTCCTTTGCTCCCCCGCCCCGCCACAATCCCATTCCCCAGATATCCTCACCTTGACGGTTCCGTGTGTATCTTTCAGGGCTTCTGCTTGTTTTTTCATCAAACTGTTTGTCTCGGAGGTGCTCCCATGGGAACGCACATGGGACTGCCTCCTCTCTTTATGTCTGTATTAGGGTCCAGAGTCGGACTGTATCCATAATTGATTTTAATATTCTTTCTATTGATTGGTTTTGTTTTTACGGGAGTAGGAACAATGCTGCAATGATCATCATTGCATATATATTTTGGGTGCACGTGTATAATTATTTATGAAGTTAGATGGTTAGATGAGGAATTGCTGAGCCAATTTAAAAATTTTCTTTGTAGATAGAGCCAAACTGTCTCCACAGCTGCTCCCACCAGCTATGTCTAAGCATTGTGCTTTATGCTTCTATTAATGTCACCTCAGAGCAGGGTAGTTTGTTTTTTCCTTTATGTTTCTTTATGTTCTTGACTCTAGAGAGCTTGTGGTCAATTAAGACTCCCAGACTGTTTTTGCATGTACTAATGTACAATGACAGCATCTGGTTAATAGAAGTTGGTACATGTAGTTTCCTGTCCACACTCAAGAATTACCAGTGATGAGAGACAGTGAAGAAAGGAGGATGGAGATGATGATTGGCAAGAGAGATGGGGGAAGTTATGAACAGGGAAGGAGTTGGGAGCTGAGAAACCCAGCATCCGTGTCCCATTAAGACCCCCATCCTGTCTCTCCATGACACCCCCCCCAATCCCGAGTCTGGGACTGCTGTTCCAGGCCCAGCAGCTGCCCCAGGTTCAGGAGGACCCCCCCCTTCCCAGGCTGATGCATATCTTCTGGTTGCTCCCAGACCACACCGTCGGAGGAGCCAGGCCGGCCCCAGATGGTGAACCGCCAGGCTCCATGCATGGATGGCTTCGAGGAGCCGGGAGAGCGGCAGCGGGCCCTCAGCGCAGTCAGTGTCCTCACCAGTGCCCTGGAAGGTCAGCTTCCCCTGATGTCATCCAAATGAACTCCTGTCCCCTCCCACTTAACCTGACCTGAGCCAAGCATCCCCCAGCTTCTAGGTTTGCCTCAGACATACCCACAGTGGGCCCAGACTTTCCGGTCTCTGTTGCCTGTTCATCCTCCCAAGCCATGTCTGTGTTTCTTCCAAACATCCCCACAGCTGTCCTGGCCTGTTCTGGGTGCTTCCCAGTCTCACCCTGTCCTTTCCCAAGCATCCTCATGCCTTCCCGGAACAATCCTGGCCCAGGCATGCCAACTCTAGCCTATTCCCACCCATTCCATGCCCACCACAAGCTATTCCAGCTGGAATAGCCTATGCCCTATTCCAGCAGGCACCCCACATCTGTCCCAGCCAGTACCCCCCCAAGGAAGCCCCCAGGCGTTCCAGTCTGAACTTGGCACCACCACCCCCATCTTGTTTCCTCTTGTCCCATATGTGTTCACATCTTTTCTGGCCTGTTCCAGGCACCTGCCATCTGTCCTAACATGTCCCAGATGCCCACGTCTGTTCTTGTTTTGGGTGTCCTTAGATCCAAACTTGCCTGTCTCAGATGTTGTCTTGTCCTTTTCAGCTTGTCCTCCCTGGGTGTCCCCATGTCTGTGTGAGACTGTCTCAAGAGAGCCCCTATCTGTCATAATCTGTCTTGCCCCAGTTGTCCCCACATCCATCCTGACCTCCTGCCCCTGTGGCCCTCTCCTATCCTATTTCCAGAGTAAGGGGCCAGGTCATAAGCCACACCTTCCCTTAGCTTTCCCTGTCCCTTTCACTGTCCCCCTGTCACAAAGGAGCCCTGCCATCTCCCCAGCTAAGTCATATATCTTTTCTGGAATACCAAATTATTTGTGAGTCAGTCCACAAAAAACAAACCAGCTCATTGGCTGCCCCTGCCCCTAGAGCTGGAAGAGTCTCACCGCAAGTGTCCACCATGCTGGCATCACTTTGCCCAGCGCTACCTGATCTGGGAGTGCTGCCCACTGTGGCTGTCCATCAAGCAGAAAGTGAAGTTCATGGTCATGGACCCATTCGCTGACCTCACCATCACCATGTGCATCGTGCTTAACACACTCTTCATGGCTCTGGAGCACTACAACATGACAACCGAATTCGAGGAGATGCTGCAGGTTGGAAACCTGGTAAGGGCTGCCAGCAGTTGACTCAGATGGGCATCCTGGTGTAAAGGGCTCTCGGCTAGCTGGCACAGCCTTCATGGGTAGTGAGGGGGGATGGAGAGCACAAAAGGATCTTCTGAAGGGTGGGAGTCACCGTGGAAGAATCTTGGAACAGGAAGGGTCAGGATCAGGTTTTAAGGAGATGAGAGCTATAGCTGGGAACGAGATGGGGATAAAGATGCCCAAGGGCTGGAAAACAAAAATGAGTTGAGGGTGCACTTGAAATGTGCAGGGATGTGCGATATGGGAATTAGTACTGGGGGAGGAGAGTGTATGCAATAAGAGGCAGTTTTCTCAGGGGAAGGATGGATGGACGAAAGAGGATGGATGGATGGATGGATGGATGGATGGATGGATGGATAGTTGGGTGTAGTTAAGTCAATCAGGCAAAGCCAGATTTGAATTCTGACTCAGCTCTTACTAACTATGTAACCTCAAGCAAATTAGTTACTCTCAGTCATTGGCACAATGAGTATTTGTTTAATTTAATAAATGTAAAATTAGTATGACAATTGCAAGCTCATAGGAAGCTAATGAGAATTGAATAAGATAATGTGTATAATGGGCTTGGCTCAGAGTTTGATAAACAGTAAGCACTCAAAATAAATGATAGCTGTGGTCTGTGGTGATCGTCACTGTTGCTGTTATTAAAGAGGCTTCCCCTGGAAGTCAGAACGTCTGGGTTCTGATTCTGATTTTTTTTTTTCCTTGAGATCAAATCATGTCCTACCTCTTTATTCTAAAGATGGGAAACTGAGGCTCAAGAAGTGACAGAGTGGTAACAAAGCTGGGCATGTGACTACTGTCTCCTGAGCCTAAGAAACAGGGCCCCACTGGCTCTGCCCAGCTAAACACAGACAGCCATTCTCCAGGGGATCCCAGGTCAAGCCTGGCAGAGAGCCCAGTGGCTTCTGAAAGGAGCTTCCGGCACCCTCACTGAGGTTGGGTGGAAGAGAAGGCTATTGCTAAGAGAAGAGGAAGTCCAAGCTTCCTCTTACTGCAGAGCCAGCCCTATCTTGGTCCCTATGGTGCAGGTGACCCCCGCCAGGCAGGCAGGTCTCCTATGCTGCAGAGTGTGAGGATTTTTTTCCTTTATTACGTTCCATATCTAGAAATCTAGATCATTATCTCGGGGTCTATTCAATTCTTTTTCACAAACCAGAGTCCATTTTGCTATAAATCTACTTTCTTTCCTTCTATATGCAAACAGAATGGAAAGCTCTATTACAGTCTACAGGTGTCTCATGGCACAATTGTGCGGGCCTTGTGTGGGCTGGTCCTTAGGTGGCAGCTATGTAGGGTTGCAATTGAATGTGGTTTTATAGGAATGTGACCATTGGGTGGCATTGAGCAGCAAGTCAAGGTGATAAAGATCTCCGGTGGCTTCCCTGGATCACTGAGCTGTGACTGAATTGAAGTTGTGTTAAACTTGGGGTTCTGTTGTTAGTAAGAGGTCATGTCCTTGGAATATAGCTTTGTTTTGTTTCATTTGGAGAGCTTTATTGCTACTGTGTAAGGTTTTGATTGTCTTGAAGTTAATATATTCTCCATGGTTTAAATGTTACATGTAAAGAAACAAAACCACAACAATAAGCATGGGAAAATAATCTTGGTAGGGGGAAAAAAACCTTTCTAAGCATGTCATTAAAGACCACTTCCATAAAAGAGAAGATCAGTAAATTTGAACTTTAGCCCATCATCTGAAGAACAAATGCAACTTCTATTCCTAACATTGTGGGCCAAAAAAACCTGAAAAGTCCCCTACTAGGAAGCAATTAAAAATACAGCAAATGTTCTTTGAAATGCATATCGAAGCTCATGAGAAAGTAACAAAAATTCCGTAGTGCCAGAAACAAAGAGGAACTTAAAAACCATAGCAGTAAACATGTGAAACGGTTCTGTAGTTGCCCTGGTGGGAGCCAGGAGCAGGTAATATTGCTGATTTGGGTAATCTGGGGACTTGGATTTTAGTGAAACTACAGAGACAAGGCAGGTCTTTAGACAATGTGAGTAAGGGTTGGAACTGAGTAGCCCCATAAGAATATAACCCTATTTTCAGTAGAATGGTTAACCAGAAAAAACTCCTGACACTGAAATTGGGAAATGATAAAGGAAGCTTGTTATTCTCAGCCAGGGCTGAAGAGGAGGGGAAAAGTAACCTCTGGAAGCTTGTGACTGTGAATTTGGCCTTATATAGATATGGAGTTCAAATTTATAGCTCAGTGTTTCTGGACCAGTGCCTAAAAATTTAACAGATAAACGGATCCTATGATATCTTGGGGTCCCTGCAAGAAGTAATCACAAAACTTCTCTGGAAAGACATACTTTTAACCCAGGCCAAGCATATTCTCCAAATTACAAAACACACAAGGAAATAAACCACTATGAGGAAGAGTCAGCAGACAGATGGACATAGACACACACACACACACACACACACACACACAGGCTTATCTTCTTAAGAAAGTCACATAATATAACTGTCTAATACAGATTATAAAATAAGAATGTTCATAATAACTAAAGACATAGAAGAAGGAATTAAACATTAAAGAATAATACAGCTTTGGAAAAGAACCAAATCAAATTTCTAGAAATGGAAAATATAGCCACTGAGATTAAAATCTCAATGTATAAATCAAATAGCACATTCATATAACTAGGGAGAGAATCAAATTAATATAATTTTAGATCTAAGGACGTTTCCTAGAATATAGAGAGATGAAGAGATAGAAAATATGACATCAAGGTTCAGAGACATGGAGTCAGAAATGAGAAGGTCAAGCAAACAGCTGATTGGGGTTCCAAAGGAAAAGGTAGGACAAGGAGGGCAAAAGAGTGTTCAAGAAAAGAATAGGTGAGAACTGATCAAAGAAATGAACCCTTAGATTCAGGAATTACATTACATCCTCACAGGATAAATAAAATATCTAGACACCATGAATGTCAAAAACAAAGACATCATACAGCAACCAAAACAAGAAAGATCGCCTACGAAGGAACAACAGTTAGATAGATGGCAAACTCTACAGTAGCTTCAACAAAAATTCAGAAGACAGTGGAATAATCATTCCAAAGTTCTGGGAGAAAACAGTGGACACCCTAGAATTCTGTACCCATTGTCCTGCCATTTATGGGACACTGATTACTGAGAGTCTACACACACACAAGGTACACAAAAATCTGTACATCAGAAATAAGTAAAATGATTGCAGAAACAGGATTTGAGAAGAACTTGAAAGGATTAGTAAGAATGTGGGTAAAGCTAAGCAAGCATTGACTGTAAATACAAGAATAAGAAGAGTGCTGGGGCGCCTGGGTGGCTCAGTCGATTAAGCCTCTGCCTTCGGCTCGGGTCAAGATCTCAGGGTCCTGGGATCAAGCCCAGAATCGGGGCTCTCTGCTCAGCAGGGAGCCTGCTTCTCCCTCTCTGATTGCCTGCCTCTCTGCCTACTTGTGCTCTCTCTCTCTCTGTCAAATAAATGAATAAATAAAATCTTTTTTAAAAATTTAAAAAAATAAAGAATAAGAAGAGTGCTGATTGGAGGGTATAAAAAGTAGGAACTAAAACATTGGAACCAAAATGTTCCCCCACTTCCTGGGAAGCCACCATCAGCCCTGCTCAGTGGCCCTCCCTCCAGGAGTAGCATATAAAATAGGCATGGAGCAGGGATTGGAGGTAAGACGGGCTGAAGTTCGTGTACACTCTGAAATATTACCTTAGACATTCTTAACTCAAGCCTGATTGTTAAAACTTTTAGGGTATTCTAAGAGGATAGGAATGGGAAGTCTTAATTGCCAAGCCAGAAGAAAGGAAAATGGAGAAATTTTACAATTCAATCTAATAGAAGAAAACAAAGGGGAAAAATACAAGATACAAAATAAAATAAAAATAGAAGTCCGAATATGCCAAGAATCATAATAAATAGAGGTAGGGACTACAGACACCAGTTAAATGACATATTGTTGGTTTGGTAAAGAAATCAAATGAAGCTACATGTTTTTTACAGAAGATACCTGAGTATATTTTGGGATCCAGATTCCTAAAAGGGATTGAAGAAAAAGAGATGGGAAAAAGATAGAACAGGCAAATACTTTAAAGAAAATTGATGGAGTTATATTAATATAAAACAAAATAAACTTCAAAGAAAAAGTATTATTAAAGGATAAAGAGATCCAAAACATGAAGATGAAAGGAACAACTCACCAGGAACATATCATTCTACCTGAATGCACTAAATTACATATCTTCCAAATATATAAAGCAGACAAAAAGATCTATTTAACAAGACCACGATCTTGGTGGGAGACCACCCTCCATAACTCACGGGTCAAGCTTACAAAAGATCACCAAGGATCTAGAGGACTTGGATAACAGAAATGAAAAGCTTGACTTAATGAATGTACAGAACACAACACCCAGTAGTTAAAGAAATCACACATGGAACATTTACAAAATGACCACATTTAATGCCTCAAAGCAAGTTGTGGCAAAGATAGGCTATTGTGCAACCTTCAATCTGCAGCCATTGCGCAATTAAAATGTATGTATCAGAATCTCTAAAAATGCTCATTGACTGTGCAATTCCATTTCCAGAAATTTATCCTAAGAAAAGAATTGGACAAGATGTTTTAAAACAAGTATGTGGAAGGATATTTATTATGGTAATGTTTCTAATAGAGACAAAAGAAGGCTCATCACAGGGAAATACTGTGGCACATCTGCGCAGTGGAATATTCCACAACTGTTCAGGAAGGAAGGGGAGGGAGGGAAGGAGGGAGGAAGGGAGGAAGGAAGGAAGAAAGGAAGGAAGGGAGGAAGGGAGGGAGGGTAGAAGGAAGGAAGAGAAGGAGGGAGAAAAGAGATGCCATAGATCATTTTTAATTGGCATTAAAGGATGTTCCCAGGAATTAAGTTGTAAAAGCAAGTTTACATTAAAGATATTAAAGAAATATGGTCAAGGAGAATTCGAAGTTTCCCAAAAGTACCCCCACTTCCTGGGAAGCTACCATCAGCGCTGCTCAGTGGCCCTCTTGCCCAGAGTCAGGGGAAGTGGGTCCCCACCCTCCAGTCTCTGCCTGCCAGATCCCAGTGAGCCTATAAAACATGCAGAGTTGTTTGAAGGCAGCCCCTGCCTGAGCCTGGCACTCTTGGCTTCTCACATCAGTTATAATAAATGCTGCCATGGTAACAATAATGGGCCTGTGGTGGGGAGCATCTGCTCTGCATCCATCAGCTCTAACTCTTAGTAACTTCCTGTGGAGCTGTCCTTATCCCCATTTTACATATGAGGACACTCAAGGCTCTGGGAGATGAGGAAACTGGTCTGAGATCACACAGCAGCAGACCCAGCTTTGGAAACTGAGTCTGGCCACCATTCTCTACATGTCTTTAACCCAACAGGCTTTGATCACATGGCCTTAGAAAGCCTGGGCTGGTCCTTTGGAAGGAGTCTGGCACGTAAATTTATGCCCTTGTAAATCAGTGGTTCGCAAGCTTAGCTGCATACTAGCATCACCTAGGAAATTAAGAACAAAAAACACTCAATTCCTGGGCTGTTCTCCAGTCCAATTTAACTAGAATCTCTGGGAGTGGGACCCAAGCAACTGTATTTTTAAAGCTCCCTAGGTGATTCCAAAGTGCACCACATTTGAGAACCAATGGCCTTTCTCAAACTTCGAATCTGGGCATCTAATCAGAATACAGGTTCTGCTCGAGCAGGGTCAGGGGTCTTCAAGATTCAAGCATCCGGGTGATGTTGGTGGTTCCTTATCACTTCCCACAAGAGGCATTCCCCAAGAGCTTCTGCTCTCTTGCTCTTCTGACTTCCAATGCCAACTAATATGTGCTCTCTTACTGCCAAGACAGATTTGCACTTGGGCAAAGGGAGGCGGGATCTCTCCTGAGCACTCACACTCATTCCTGTCCCAGAAATGAATGTGAGCTCTCATGGGTCTGCTGAACTGGCCTTGAGAACACACCCACCCTGGGATGCTCAGGTGATGAGGGAGACCAGAGGGCCGGCAGGGGTGAGAGGAAGGGGCTTCACAGGCCCCACCCTTAGGGATTCTCAGGGAGACCCAGGGCAGGGAGTGTGGCTGACAGGACACAGGACACACAGGAGCTGAAGGTCGGAGGCCCAGCTATTTGCATGTTTATATTCAACAAATATTGGGTGGTTGCCTACTGGCTGGGCACCATTCCTGTAACAGTAAGACAGAAAAGGTCCCTCCTGTGGAGCTTACAGTCTAGCCAAATCTGTAGCTACATATACAGTTTGTTACATGGTGGTAAGTGAGGGAAAGAAAAATAAAGCAGAGAAGAGGGAGGAGGAGTTTGGTGGGAGGGGGCCATAATTTTAAGCATCAGGAAGCCTCATCCATTAGGTGGCTTTTAAGCCCAAACCTGAAGGGAGTGAGCCCTGTGGATGGGGGGAGCGGAGATAGTTCAGGGAAAGGGAGCAGCAGGTACAAAGGCCCTGAGGAAGGAACAGTGAGGAGACAGGCTGGAAGAGCAGCAGGGGATGGAGTCAGAGGGATGGAAAAGTTATGGGTACAGAACCCCGAGACAGGCTGGGGTGCTGAGGAAATGGGAGAAGAACCCCAACCTCCCCACACAGGAGGGAGCCCAGGCATTGGAGCTGAGGCCGAGAGATGTCGCAGGCCCTCCTTTCCGTGAGACCCCAGCTGGTGGGAGAACAGTTCTCTCTGGGCACCAGCCCTGAGTGGATCCCTGAAGTCACGAGGGCTGGCTGACCAGTGATGCCTAGTGTGGCAGTGCCGTGGTACCCCCCCCACCAGCCATCCTGGTGCACTGCCCCCAGGCCCATAGCAATCCCTGCCCCCCAGCCCACCGCCACAGGGCCTTATATGAGCAGAGGAGGAAAGGGCTAATGTAGGCATCCCTGCTGCCCTCCCTTCAGCACAGAGCCCCTGACAGGGGTTGCCGAGGCCTGGGTGATCACCCCTGTTTGCCAACCCCAGCAAGCTACTCAGCCTTGCTGTCTCTGACCCCTCCTCCCTCACAGGCCTGGTGCTGTCTCTAGGGATGGTCTGGCCCTCTGACCTCAGCCCTCACCCACAGAAGACCTCAGTGACTCCTCCCCACCCTCACAACAACCCACTGAGATCCAAGAAGGCCTCGTATGCAGGCCCAACTTCCTGCCAGCCACACCCTCCTAGGGCGTCCCCTCCTCCAGGAACCGTGGGCCCCTCCAGGCTATTGGCCTACTGAGGAGCGGTTGGAAATGGTCACAGCTGCATGACCCACCACATGATGGGCTTCTTGGCCACAGGACTCTGCTGGCCCAGGCTGGGGGGCTCCAAACTGTGTCTAACAAATGGAGGGAAACCCAGCCTTTGTCTTAGGAATGTTTCCAGAAGGCAGAGGGTGTTGCTCTAAATCTTGAAGGACAACCCTAAGTTCATTTCCTGGTTCTCAGATGTACCAGCTACGTGACTTTGGGCAAATTATTAACGTCTCAGTGTCTCAGTTTCTTTCCCTGTAGAATGGGGACAATGATACTTTCCTCATGGGGTTGTCGGGCATAGGCACAGCATTCTAGCCCAGGACTGGCACGTGGTCATGCCCTCAAGAAGAGTTGGGTGATTGTTATTACAGAGATAGGAGTTCAGTGTGTGGACAAGATGGAGCAGGAAGAGCATGGGCAGAGGCCCTGAGACACGAAAGCCATGAGTGTTCATGGGAATGCATGTATTTGGCACATAAGGAGTAAGAGTGCTTCCTGTGGAGACAGGGGCTGGAGGGTGTCATGCTGGGTTGTGATACCCCCACCTCAGCCTCCCCTGCCCCCAGGTGCTTCTTAGAGCTATCAGTCTCTGCAGGGCCTGAGATGGCCCTGGCTGTTTCTGAGGGCCATGCTGGCAGGTCATGGGTGGCGAGCCGAAGAGGGAGTGGGGACATCAGGCTGCATATGTCCCCGGGGGCCTGGTCCATGGCTGAGCAAGCACCCACTGGGAGCCAGGGTGCAGTCAGAGCTGGCAGCCCAGGAGGGGGATCCTGCGGGAGCAAGAGTCAAAAAGCAGGGCACCCCTCCTGGCCCAATGGTCTTTCCAGCCCAAACACTGGGAACCCCGATCTCTCTGTTCCTCCCCAGGTCTTCACGGGGATCTTCACCGCAGAGATGACCTTCAAGATCATCGCGCTGGACCCCTACTACTACTTCCAGCAGGGCTGGAACATCTTCGACAGCATCATTGTCATCCTGAGCCTCATGGAGCTGGGCCTGTCCCGCATGGGCAACCTGTCAGTGCTGCGTTCCTTCCGCCTGGTACCTAGCTGGGCCCTCTGCGGGGGGGGGGGGTGGGGGCCTAGGGTACTGAGGCAATGCCCTCTGAGGTCACCACTCAGTCACCCCTACTGTGATCCATCATGCCTTCTCCCAACAGCTATTTGCTGGGTACCCCAGTGCTGGTGATGTGGGTGGTAGAGAGGGGGTCAAGAAAGGAGATATCCCTCTGGGAAGCTATGGGGATGGCCATCCTGATGACTTGCAAAGCCCTTTATGGCTCACCATGCCCCCTTTAGCCCTCATAGTATCCCAGGAGAGGAACTAGTATTACTACATACCCATTCCACAGATGAGGAGACTAAGCCCCAGGTGAAATGAATTTCCCAAAAGCCACAGGGCAAATAACAAGTGGAGCCAGGCCTGCCAACAGCTCTCCTGGGTTTCTGCCTGCTGGTTTCAGAGTCAGCACTTTGGAAACTCTAATGCGCCCACAAATCATCTGGGGATCTTGTTAAACTGCAGTGCCTAACGTAGTAGGTCTCGAGTGAGGCCAAAGCTGTTGGTCTGTGGAGTGCAGAATGCCTGAGAGGTCCACACATGGGGCTGGAGGTAGGTCAGGGAAGGCTTCCTGGAGGAAGTCTGGGCAGTGCTGTTGGGTTCACTGGGGGCTTGAAAGGCAGGGTGGTAGAGGCAGTAGAGAAAGTCCAAGCTATAGGTTCTAACCTTGACTCCACTGCCATGAACTAATGGACTCAGATAAGTTACTCCACCTTTAAGGGCTGGCTTCTTCACCTGCCAGAGGAGGCAGTAACAATGCCGACCCCATGTGGTTGTCGGAAGCTCTGAATGACGTGAGCATCCTAGCACAGGCCTGGCACAGCAGGTATTCAATAAATGCTAAGCATCTGCCCCCCTTTTCCATGATAACTGAGCAGAGAGAAGGTTGGAGGCAATGGGGCAAGTCAGAGATGGTTTGACCTGATGAAGATGAGTCTGGAAGAAAACGTCTCTGGGAAGTTCCTGGCAGTGAGCCTGGGGCGGGTAGGAAGCTGGTATGGGGATGAAGAGCAAGGCTGAGTTGGGGAGGTGAAGCTGGAGATGTTGACCTGACTCAGAGCTGAGCCCAGCGGAGCTGCCCTCGGGCTGTAGAGAGAAAGAGCAGTGTGTGCTCCTGGACAAACACGTGTCCAAGGGCCCCCTGGGTTTTCAGATAGGAGCTAGCAGGGGTGAGGGTGTCCATGGGCGGCGGGAACTAGAGCCCCTCACAAGGACACCTCCCTCCCCAGCTGCGGGTCTTCAAGCTGGCCAAATCATGGCCCACCCTGAACACCCTCATCAAGATCATCGGAAACTCGGTGGGGGCACTGGGGAACCTGACGCTGGTGCTGGCCATCATCGTGTTCATCTTCGCTGTGGTGGGCATGCAGCTCTTCGGCAAGAACTACTCTGAGCAGAGGTACCGCATCAGTGACTCAGGCCTGCTGCCCCGCTGGCACATGATGGACTTCTTCCACGCCTTTCTCATCATCTTCCGCATCCTCTGTGGGGAGTGGATCGAGACCATGTGGGACTGCATGGAGGTGTCTGGGCAGTCACTGTGCCTGCTCGTCTTCTTGCTTGTTATGGTCATTGGCAACCTCGTGGTAAGTTGGCCAGTGGCCCCATATACACCACACACACATTCACCAGCCCACCGGTCATCCCTCTGTCCATTCACTTAACTTCCTTCCATCCATCCACTCATTCACTCAGTGAGCTATCGAACTGTCCATTTATCCATCAATCTCATCATCCATCCACCCATCTACCCACCTATTCATCACCCATCTTTCCGTCTATCTACTCATCCATTCATTCGTCCACCCACTTATGCACCCATTTACTCATCCATCTGTGCACTTATCACCATTCCATCCATCCACTTACCCACTGATTCTTCCATCTCTCTACTCATCCATGCATCTTCCTATCCAGCCATCGATCTACTTATCAGTCACCCACCCGCCAATTCACCCATCCTTCCGTCCACCTCTCCATCAATCTGTCTACTCAGTTACCAGTCCTCCTCTCTATTCACTCACTCACCCAGCCATCCAACCATCAACTCCCCACTTACTCATTCTCATATCCATCCGCGCATTCATCCACCCATCCATTTATCTGCCCATCAACCACCCATCCGTCAACCCCTCTTCATTCATAAACACACACACACACACACACATTCATCCATCCATTCACTCATCCACCAAACCATCTATCCATTCATTCATCACCCATATTTTTATTCTCTTATCTTTCCCTCCACTCACTAATCCAGCCCCACATCCATCCGTCAACCCACAATCCATTCACTCATTCACCAGTCCTCTTCATCTACCCATTCATCCATCCAGCTCTCTACTCACTCACTCGTTGACCCATCCATCCATTCCCATCACTCCCCATTTGCTCCTTCATTCATTCACCCACCTAGGTACATGTTCATTATATACTCATTTCATATCCATTAACTTATTTATTTACTCATCTACCAACTACTTCATTAGTCACTTACTGTCAATGATTTTATTACATGGGTTTTCAGTTCAGCTTCACAAACACTTCCTGTGCCCCTGTTGCATGCAAAATATTATGGCAGGAGCTGCTGGGAATACAGAGGTGAATGTGGCCCTGCCGTGGCTTACCAACTGGAGAGTGGGGAGGTGGAGAGTTCTAACAAGCCTGAAATAACTCTCAAGCTGGTCAGAACGACCAGAGGCATTAAGGAGTGTCCCTTGGGTGCTGATCCCTACCATCAGGGGAAATCAAGGAAGGCTTCCTAGAGGAAGGTTTGGGGCAGACCTGATTGGTGATACTAGAGTGGGAAGGAACAAAGGGAGCAAAGCACAGATGCCATAGGTGTTGGTCCAGATAAGGCAGGATCCATGGGAACTTGTATGTCACGCTGGGTAGCCATTGGGGAGTCCCAGCTACCCTGTCACAAGGGACCCGGCCTTGCTCCCATGGCCATCTGTGCATCCTAGAACAGGTACCTCTTGCCTTGTATCTTACAATGTGGGGAATTCTGCAGTTGAGAGAGATCAAAAACCCCAATGTCCTTCCTTTCTAAAGAAGGAGCTTTCTGAAGCTCCTTCTTTGGAAAGCTTCAGGTGGAGGCAAGTGAGTGGTTCAGGAAGAAGTCGTGTCCACTATGGATGTGGAGCTACCCGTCTGGGCACACAGGTGGTCCACACATGCTCAGACCTCACACCTGCCTGATCTGATTCTTGCCAGTGTGGACAGCATAGACTCCCATCACCTCACAGAGGCCTCAAGTACCATGGGCTGCAGTTTCCAGACAGACTGCTTCCCCAAACCTCCTTGGTTCTCCTCCAGATGTGCCCTAACCATGCAAGGGCGGGCCCAGGCCAAGTTGGGGGTCAGTCTATCTCTAGCCCCACTTGTGGGGCCCAGAGAAGTGGCAGGGCATCGGTGCACAGTGCCAACAGAACCCAGCTCTTGGGCTGCACCCTCTGCCACGTCTTCAACTGGCTGCCCCTTGGGCTGGAGCCTCATTCAGCCCTGGCCCTGCTCCAGGGGCCACCAGACTATGTATTCTAAGGAGGCTTGTGAGTACGCCAGGCTCTCAGACCAGGGCCAGGCCCGCTGCCCTCATGCACACAGCCCTGCCATTTCCTAGCGGATCTGCCTGGGGATGAGAAGATTAGAGGCTGCTGGAGGAGGGAAGCTAACACAGCCCATGCTGCCCCCTCCCTGGTCGCCTCAGGAATTGGGCCGCTGTCGGGCGTAGGTGGAAGCAAGATTGCCATTAAAATGGGAAGTCATGATCAGGCAGAGGCTGGGGAGCAGCAGCCTGATTGACGGGGAAAGCACTGGAAGAAGCCAAACCTGGGCACCAGGCCACAAGGGAGGAGCTGGTGTTCTTGTGGGGGCGGACAGGGCTGCCCACGCACCACTCCCCTCCACCTTACCCCCTAGCCAGGGCCCAGATACCTGGATGTGAGGCATAGGTGAGGGCGGAGGAACCAAGGTGGGCAACTGGGAGCAGAAGTAGGCCAGGCCCAGGCCAGCGTGGCCCAGGCTGGGGGCTGGGCCAGAGATCAGTGTAGACAGCAACCCTGAATCATGTCATGTGCCCTGCCAACCAAAGATGACATTTTGACTTTTGACAGGTGTCAAAAGTGATCCTCTCCCCATACGGAATGCCAGATCCTGCTTCTTCCCCTTGCCATTCTGTCCTCCTGAATGTATATTGCTTCTTAAATCAAAGGCGTGTTTCTGACTCCTGGAGCTCCAACGTTACCACTGCTTTCCTCAGAATTCTCATCCCTAGCTCTTTGACAGGCAGGAGGTGCATCTTCGGGGCTCGTGAGAAGCCGGAGAGGGGCCCAGAGTGGGTTCCCAGTGAGAACTGCACACCTACCCTCACATACCTCCCTGCCGTAGGGGTCCCCCTTCAAGGGAACTCTCTGCGGGGGCTGGCTGGGTGAAGGAGGCACCAAGCCCAAGGTGGGGAGGGGGTGTCTCTGGCCTGTCAGCTCCAGAGCCCGTCTGACCCATGTGAAGGAACAAGCCTATGGTCATTTTCATTTACCCTCCACGAGGCTGGGAAGTGGACCCACGGCCACCCTCTTGTCACTCCATGAAAGGGCTCTTTCTTAATAAAAGCTAAAGCTTTGCCCTTCCAGGATGGTTTAACAATAGCAGTAGTCCAGAATTCTGCAGAGAGAGATGAATTTTGCACACCTCCCTTAAAGAGTCTCAGATCCCTAGCTCCTGATAAATAGTTTAAGTACTGCCCTTCTGGCACTTGGCAACCTCAGCCCCTCCCCTGACTCCTGGCAGCTCCGACCCAGGTCCCTCCACCTCCTCCCCAGTTGTCTGGTCCCGTACCCAGCGCCCATCCCAGCATCCCTCACTGCCTAGACAGCCACCTCTCCATGTTCTGACCCCGCAATTAGTCCCAGAGGCCCGAGGACTGCCCTTGTCCCTTCTCTGCTCCATCCCCCACATCCCTCACCTGGAAAGCAGAGTCAGACCTGGGGACACATGTAGAAGGTGCTAGATTTTCAAATGTTGAGACAGCTCAGAGGCCCATCACAATCCCCTCTTTCACCAATAGATGTAGGAAAGTCCTCAAGAATTCTGCATTGCTTCTGGGTGGGATTCTGCCTTATTCCTGGTGATCTCCGGTTGGAGCCCACTTCCCAGGGAGCAACCCCGTGCTCATTCTAATCCCGCTGTCCGCCATTACTCCCAGGCAGCAAGATCCCATCTGCAGGCTTCATCCCTGGATGAACCAATGCTTCTCCCTTAGACCCCGGGCCAAGACTCCAGAGATCTGAGGCCGAATGCCCTCAACCCAGACTGCATTTGAGCCCTTGGGAAAAGGGATGAGAATTGGTCTTTCATTTTATAGCGAAATTCACTATATTCAAGAGAACTATGGGGTGAGGATGAGGGCCCAGGGTTCGACCCCAGAGCTGTTGGCCATCAGCACTCCTTAAGGTCCCCGGGCCTCAGTTTCCCCATAATGGCCCCGAGGCTAGCTGCCCCTCTGGTGCCTGCCTTGATGAGCCTGATCCCTGGCCTCCACAGGTCCTGAACCTCTTCCTGGCTCTGCTGCTCAGCTCCTTCAGTGCAGACAACCTCACAGCCCCTGACGACGACGGGGAGATGAACAACCTCCAGCTAGCCCTGGCACGTATCCAGCGCGGCCTGCGCTTCCTCAAGCGGACCACCTGGGACTTCTGCTGCGGGCTCCTCCAGCGGCAGCCCCAGAAGCCCGCAGCCCTCGCCAGCCATGGCCAGCTGCCCAGCTGTATGGCCACCTCCAGCCCCCCACCACCCCCGGAGTCAGAGAAGGCACCTCCGGCCCGCAAGGAGACGCGGTTTGAGGAAGACGAGCGGCCGGGCCAGGGCACCCCCGGGGATGCAGAGCCTGTGTGTGTGCCCATTGCTGTGGCTGAGTCAGACACGGATGACCAAGAGGACGATGAGGAGAACAGCCTGGGCACGGAGGACGAGTCCAGTAAGCAGGTGACTGCCCCACCCCCTGCATATATGCAGCACCTACCTGTACAGGGCCCGAGCCTGTGCTTGCCAGGGCTCCCAGCCTCGTTCCAAGTAGCTGACCCTGCCACCCTCAAGAGGCAGCCTCACAGTGGGGTGCTGAGACCAGCTGTCAGCCCTCCATTCCCAACCCAGCCCAGAGGAGACCTTGGAAGGGGCTATTGTCCATCATTTGCCTGATACTAGCCAGGAGCAGCGAACTGTACAGAAAGGGGAACTGAGGCATGGCAAGAGAGAGACTTGCTAGGAGTGCCTCGCACACCTACGACAGAGCCAGCACTCCTACCCGACCCCTTTCCCCCAACCATTGTCCCCCTCCAGTACTGATATGGCGGAATGTCTTAGGGAGGGAGGAGTGCAGTCTCCTGACCTCCCGACTGCCCTTTCCCCTCCTCCCAGGCCCAGGGCTAACTCGGAGATTTAAAAATAAGCATCCCTAAGATGGCAGGTGTCAGAGACAGCACTATCTTATCTCCCAACCTGTTATTTTTAACACTTAGGACCAGAGTCTGGACAAAAGAGTGCCCCCAACCCCCTCAGTTCTCCCGTGGCCTGAGCCAGGCACAGATGGCTTCTCCTTAGGTCTTTAGGTCAAACAGTGAGTGGTTCTCTGTCTGACTGGGCCCATCCTCACTGCTTGCTGTGGGCCTGCTTCGGCTGGGTCTGCTGTGAAGGGACACTGCTCCCCACGTGGGGAGTTGCTTCCACATCGTTCTGCCTCCCAGTGGTCCCAGAGGCCGGCTTCCACCCCTTCGGTCAGGCTGTGGACAGGGACAGTGTAAGCTGGGGGAGGGCAGTGCTAGCAGTTGCCAGACCACGGCTACCAGTTATCTCCAGGATGCTCCCTTTCCTGCTCCTCTCCTTCTCTTGAGCCTGTTGGCTCTGGCTCCCTGGGGCCAGTGTGTGTGCATGTGTGTGTCTGCATACGTTTGGAGGGTGCCATGCAGGGTGCCATGGGAACTCATGGGGGAGGTCTGTATGTCCCTCCTAAGTGGAGTTGCCAGCATTTGGGAACTGGCCGGTGCAGCCCAGCCTCACCCTTCTGGGGAGTGGGAGGAGGGGAGACTTAGGCCAGGCTGACCAGGATCCTCCCAGAGGGAGAGATCTTCAGTGACCTGAGGTCCCATGAAGAGGGCAGGAGGCAGTGCTCCAGTTGCTTAGGCGGGACCCTGGGAACACTCTGGCGGGGGAGCTCATGGGCTGGGGGTCTCTTCAGCAGGAATCCCAGCCTGTTTCCGGCAGCCCAGAGGCCCTCCCAGAGCCCAGGGCCTGGAGCCAGGTGTCAGAGACCCCCTCCTCCGAGGCCAGTGTGGCTCAGGCAGACTGGCGGCAGCGGCGGAAAGTGGAGTCCCCGGCCCCAGGGTGCAGTGAGGTAACACACGCCTTTGTCCCTGAAGCCAGCGGGGTGCCACACTTGGATCGGAGCCAGTCTGAGGGGTCCTCGCACACGCCTGCATTTTTTGGTGGGAGCCATAGCCACGGTCACAGGCAGTGTGGGAGACCCGTCTGCACAGGGGAACACGGGCAGCCCTGCCCTGACAGGGGTGGGGTGGCATGGGGCCCAGAGCTTCTGGAAGATTCTGGAAGCTGCCAGCCCAGGCCCCTGAGGCAGGACTAACCCTACCCCTCCGTGTGCTCATCCCTCCTCACTCAGTTCCTGTGCTTTGATCCTCTTTGGCAAATGTTTGTCCTGTGAATTACCCCATCCCAGGGGACTTGGGGGGCCCTGAGAACAAGTTCCTGATGCATTGGCCACCAGCAGCTTCTCTCCTGGACTAAGGCCAAGGTCTCAAACGGGAGGCCTACTCTAGAGTTTTGTTCTGGCTACAGAAGGATTTTAATTTGAATATGCTACTAACATTAAAAACCTGGTAGCTTTTATGTAAAAAACAAAAAACAAAAAAAACAAACAAAAATATGCATTGAAATGTAGAAAAAAAGTAGGAAAAATGGGGGAAAAAAATTGGAAGAAGAACCACCCCGCCGGAGACAAGTGATGACCACCTCCATGACACTGACTAGAACTCCCTGGTTTGCCACAAACCCACCTAACTTCATTCCACGACTTGCAAGCATTCCACACCTGTAAGCATTTGAGTCTGCAGTCCCTAAGCTAAAGGACTGCGGCATTGCTCATGCTCCCCAACCCCACACAGCCACCCTCGCTCACGCCAAGCATCGTGCAAGGTAGAGGGCTCGTGTTCAGAGACAGAGCAGCCTGACCCGAACCCTTGGTCCAGCAACTGTGACTGGCTTCGACGGAACGTTGTACCTTTTGCCCTATCCCTTTTGTGCAATGGGTTTATGGGAGGCTTTGTGATCATGATCATCTCTGGAGCACGAGCACCTGCTGGAATCTTCATCCTGACAGTACAGGTCACTCTTCTCCCCTAGAGGGTCTGACACAGAGGCATGTGGGAGCAGGAAGATGCAGGAGGGACCCAAAGTCATGGAGAGGGAGGGTTTTCATACTGGAATGATGACACTTCTTCCTCTCCTCAAATCAGTTCACGGTGGGACCCATAAAAGGGAGAGAGAGGTAGGTTGGGTGTTCCTGGACAAGGACCCCTCATCCCACCTGCAGCGGGTTCCTGAGAACCTGTCTCCAGCCAATGCCTACTTTGTGCAGCTCCAGCATCTGAAAAGCAAAGTCGTGCGGAGATCTCCTCTGGCTTGTGCCTTTCCCAGCTCAGCTGCCCAACAAAGCTGGGGGCAGAAAGATGAGCCCTCAAAGCCACGGGGACCCCAGAAGGGCCAAGGCTCCACCCTGCACCCAGGAGCCCTCTTGACTTTCCCATCAACGTCCAACCCTTCCCCATCACAAACGCCAAAACTGAAGAGGACTTTGAGAAAGCAGCAGAGTGAGTCACGGAAAGAAGGGAAAAGAAGACGGCTTTAGGTGCAGAGGCAGGCCAAGGACTCCAGCCAGCTCATCTCCAAGTGGAGCATAATGCTGAGCTACCCAGGCATGCCCACTTAGCTGGCACCATAGACAGGATCCAAGGCCACCAAAGGCTTCCCTTCCCTCTCAGAAGCCTCTTGCCCCTGCCACGCCTTCTGTAGGGTGGGCTCCTAGGAGGAGAGACTGAGACGGGTGTCCTGTGCCCCCAGAGGGAGTGCCCCCAGAGAAGCTGATAGGGAAGAGCGAGAAGCAGGATGAAACCAATGAAGAAGCTTCGAAAGGCCCAGTCCTGGATTCAGGCCTCAGCCTGGTCCATTGGGGAGCCCTGGGGCCAACACTGCACGTGGCATTGTCCCACTACCCCCTCCCCAGGCAAGGGGCTGGCCTCACGTCTTCCCACATCAGTGCAACAGTGGGTGTCAGCCACCTGTGGCTTGAGTTGAAACCCACAAGCTATTACGGGGCTCGGCCACTCCCTGGGTACAGACCATGTTCGGAAGAAGGGGCCAGCCCCACGGTCAGCATTCATGGTGCAGTGGACCTACCAGAGGGAACTGGGCCGAGCACTGGCAGTGACCACTACTGCTCCCCGCAATGACCGCACCCACATGTGACCGACAGACACTCGCAGTGCCGCATGCACACGGTTCTCTGTAATCAGATTATGCAAGGGCGGGCTGGCAGAGCCCTGTGTGGCCAGGCAGGGCAGCCTCCAGGCTCTTCTTGCTTTGACTCCGGGCTCTGCTCATCACCCCAGCACTCATGAACTGGGCAAGAAGCGTCGGTTGGGTGGCTGGCCCATGCTCTGCATGTCTGATCCCACACCTGTGTGTGCCTGTGGCCTGGTTTGGACTCTGTTCTGGGTGTGGGGGACATGCCTGTTTCCACTGCGTGTGCCAAGCTGCCACTGTGTGTCCTTGTCTGACTGTGTGTCCATGTTGCCACCCATGTCTGTCTCTTCCCAGCTGGATGCATTCCCCAACCCCAGTGCTTTCCAGTACCCCCATCAGACCAGAGCCACACACCCAGGAGCCTCTGAAGTCCAACCTCAGTTCAACCTGGGGCAGGTTACCAGCCTCCCACCTTGGGCTCAGATTTCCAGGTTATGCGGTGGGAAGTAGTCTGGGCACCTCCCCCTCAGGGAGCCCCTGGTTGCCCCAGACTCGGGGCTCAAGGCTGGAGCTTCTACGTGGCCCTCACCCATCCCATCCCACGCCCCTGCCCACAGACTCACGAGGACAGCTACTCAGAGGGAAGCACAGCAGACATGACCAACACTGCTGACCTCCTGGAGCAGATCCCCGACCTGGGTGAGGATGTCAAGGATCCGGAAGACTGTTTCACTGAAGGTACTGCCCTGAGTGGCCCTTTGCCAGAGCCTCAGCCCCATCTGGGGCCGGGGGTGGGGAACAGGACAACCAGCAGCTCCTTGGGGCCCAGGGCCATGTTGCACCCAACCCTGACCCCAATGCTTGCTCTCCCTCCCCATTCCTCATGGCCCCCTCCTTCTACCCAGGACCTGATGACACCCCTGCCCGTGGACTGCTGGGCTGGGCAGCTGTGGGTCAACCGCATGGAAGACCCATGACTCTGCATTGGTAGGATGACAACACGAGTGTGTGACCCCCAGCAGCAGAGGCTCCATCCTCTTCCCCCATGCCTCTAGCACATGGTGCCTGGCCCATTGCAGGCCTTCTGTAAATACTCACGGGTGGTGACATGTGCCCGTCATCAGCATCTGTGGCTTTTATGAATTGGTGGTGAATATTCAGAAGGCAACTGGGGATAAAATGAGAGTTTCTCCTCCACATGGCATGTCCTTTGGGGCTATCAATGAGGGCTTTGCCCTTGCCACGGCTCAAAAACTGCAAACGTGGAGAAGACCCAGTGACCAAGTATTCCGGGAGTTCTGGAATATCCCCCCAGGGGGAGAATTTCCCAGGTGAGCAGAGGAGAAACTGGTGCCCAGCCCAGCCCAGCCTTCCCTCTGCTCAGATCTGCCAGGCCCTTTACCCACTCACTGGATGCCTAGTCCATCCGGCCTTTCCACAGAGTTCTTGCGAGCGTGGGCCCCTGAGGACAGCACCGCAGCGCTCCCTGCTGTCCCATCACACCTGCCCACCATGTCACCCCGTTTACTGCTCCACGTCATAACCTCATTCTCTCGGTCACCCCTTCCGAGGGGTGGGCGTCTGCAGGCCCCGGATTGGGCCTGACCCTTCCTTCCCTCCCCCTGACAGGCTGCGTCCGGCGCTGTCCTTGCTGCACCGTGGACACCACGCAGGGCCCTGGGAAGGTCTGGTGGCGACTGCGCAAGACCTGCTACCGCATCGTGGAGCACAGCTGGTTTGAGACGTTCATCATCTTCATGATCCTGCTCAGCAGTGGAGCCCTGGTACCCTCCTGGGGCTGCAGGGTTGTGCAGAGAGGGATGGTGGAATGGGGAGGGCAGGGCAGTGAAATCTGCCACTGGGAGCTAGGCCAGAAACTGGGGCAGAGCCTCTGCTGCAGCTGGGCTTCCCCCGGCCCCTGGCATGGGAGTCAGCTCACAAACTCCCATCACCACAGCAGGAACGGAAGTCAGAGCCAGAAGGGCTCACGGAGGTCATCTGGCCAGTACCCTGGGTCCCGCCAGAGTGGGACAGTTGGCCTCATTTCACAGTGTATAGCTGGCACAGGTCACAGGTCACTAGCCTCCCACCGCCAAGTGCTGGGGACACACCCATCTGCACCTTGCGCCGTTAGGCCATTTCAGTGCAGTTAATGATGCCGCCTGAGATTCCACCTGTAGCTCCCTTCATTCCAGCTGAACGTTCCAGGGTTAGAGGCCGGGCTGTGTAGTTCACACATTGTCACATTTGATCCCAACAACAACCCTTTGTAGAAACATTACATAACCTGCCTAAGGTCCCACCACTTGCAAGCAGCAGATGTGGCAGTCAGATTCTGGAGTCCTTTGTCTTGACCTTCCACTTGTTCAATAGGTTTCTTCTAAGTTCTCCTTGTATCTAGTCCTGTGAGCCATGGGGAGCAACAACAGGAGGAGGAGACACCAGCCCCGGCCTCATTGGCTGAGAGTCTAGCTAAGGAAACCAGATTCAGTAGGTTTGAGGTAGTCAGAGATCAGCTCATGAGAAAACATTGAATAACAATAAATGACTGGGAAGTCAGCGGAACTGGAGCAATCAGGAAGACTTTCTGGAGATAGCAGGTAAAGCTGGGCTATGCAGGACAAGGAGGTTTGCTGAGACCAGGAGTAGCAGGAAGGCCCACCTGGAATGCCCTATGTGGTTCCCAAGCACCCTATTCTGATCTCTCAGAGTCCTTTTAAGAGGAGGTGGGATGGCACTGGAGAGGGTTCTAGAAGATGCTGGTGAACGGGGAGATGGGTGGTCAAGAAGACAGAGGAGATAATCACTTTCCTGACCCAGGGGAGCAAGCACTTGATATCGTTGGGGAGGTGAGAACCTCATGTTTGAGCAACTGACAGGAAATGCTTTGAACCCCAGAGCAAGAGAGAAGGGCACTTTGACCCAAGGCTATGTGCCTCCACTCCGTGTCACCTCCTGGGCTCAGGCCATGGGGAGGAGCCGTGGCTGTCACCCCTGTATCTCTGGGCCTCTCGTCCCATCCTATACTCCCCTCCCCTCTTCCAGAGTGGGCCTAGAGCCCTGACTTACAGGCCGCATGTTTTACCATTGGCAGCTAGAGCCAAATCTCTGTAGGCTTCAGAGAAGGATGATTTGACAATATGTTAACGAGTTTTGTTTTTAAACAGCCACAAACAAGGGCAGCCAGAGCCATGTAGTCTGGGCTGAGGAAAAACTCAGCCTGGCATAAGTGAGGAGGAGTTTTGGCAAGCAAATGGTGAATCTAATCAGGGTAGACAGCCAAGCACAGTTTAAAAAAAAAAAACACGTCGATGATATATTGAGAAAAAGAAGTCTGAGTGTGTTATTTAAAGTTATAAACTCGGTTAACAGAAAGCAAACTATATATCCCTTCCAAATTGTTGAAGGGAATTTTCTTTTAAAGAAAACAGAGCTCTTACAGCAGAAGTTAGGAGAAAAAAGAAGGAACAAGGAGACATTAAACAAGGAAACAGAAAATAAGGTGGCAGAAGCAAAAGCAAATATGTTTTAATAATAATGTTAACTGGATAAAATTCATCTTTTAAAAAAGGAAAGGGATCTGAATGGATTTAAAAAACAAAAAACAAAGACTACACCTATGTGCTCTTAAATGACAAACCAAAACACTGTCACTCAGAAATAGTAAAAGTAAAATAATAAGATATATCAGGCAAATGCAATCATGACAAAAATCAGAGTGTTTGTGTCTGTTAATACTAAGCAAGGTTGAATTCAATGTAAGAAATGTGAGATAAAACAAAGCAGGTCACAGCTATAATAAAAATAAAACTATTGGGGCGCCTAGGTCACTCAGCAGAGGAGTCTGCTTCTCCCTCTCACTCTCCCTCTGTGCTCTTGCTCACTCTCTCCCTCAAATAAATAAATTTTTAAAAGTAAATAAACTATTATGAATATATTTTTGCTTGGGATTGCATAGCACTTATATCAAACAAGAACTATTAGGGAAAAAAAGAAAAAAAATGTGACAATGATGCAATAGTACAGGGAGATTTTACCACATTTTTACTAGTTCCTGACAAATCACATAAAAAGAACAAGACTATGAGAGATCTAAAATATATATATATATATATATATATATATATATATATATATGTAATTAACAAGTTTGATCTAGCCTAATAATAAAAACAATAACATTTAAATAGCACCCACTATATGCCAGACCCTGTTGTAAGCATTTTACAAAGATTAATGCATTTGATTCTCACAATAACCCTAAGAAATGAGTCTGTTATTAAGTCTATCTTACAGATAAGGAAACTGCTAGATTTGGCAAAAATAAAAAGACTAAAAAACAACAAAAAAAAAATCCTTAGAATTGTAAAAGTCATTCTTAAACTGTGGATCAAACAGAAAATAGTTGGATGTTACATTCATGGGTGCTCGTTATATTAAAAAGTAAGCAAATAAATAAGATACAAAGGCTACTCATGGGCCAAAGATGACTGTGTTGTAAGTCAAAGATTATGATTCAACCAATTCTGTCCACTTAAGCTCTAGAAAAATAAGAAAGGAAAATTAGAGGTAGAGAAAAAAAACTGGCTGGGGAATAAAAAACTAGAAAATAATAATATTGAGAGTACCGCTTGTAGAATGCAGCCAAAGCTGTAATAAGAGGAAACTACATAGGGGCGCCTGGGTGGCTCAGTCAGTTAAGCATCCCATTCTTGATCTCAACTCAAGTCTTGATCTCAGGGTCATGAGTTCAAATCCTATGTTGGGTTCCACACTGGATATGGAGTCTACCTGGAAAAAAAAAAAGGAGAATTCATAGACTTAAACACTTTTATTAATAAATAGAATGCAAATTAATTATTTAACTCAAGAAATTACAGATATACCAACAAAATATTCTTAAGGACAACAAGAAAATAACTAATAAAATTTAAAAAACAAATTAATCAATTAAAAATAAATAATAAAACTGATATGAAATTCCAAAGCTGATGCCTTGAAAAGTTAATAAAATAGATAAACCAGTAGCGAATTCTGATCTCTCACATCTCCAAGGATGGGTTCTTTTGCATTCCCAAGGAAGAAAATAATTCCAATCCTTTTTATAATGTTGTAGAGTGTGAAGAAAGTTGGAAAGTCTGCACATCCTTTTTATGCAAGCTAAATAATGCTGATTTTTAAAACCTCAGGTATACCAACAGGAAAATCGTGGATTCGTTTTTATACACCATACTTATGAGTAGTGTTGCAAATATCTGAAATACATGCAAATAAGAACCAGCAGTATATTTTAAAAATTAAATAAGTCATACCAGGTATATTCTAAAATGGCAGAATGGTGCCATACTAGGATATCTATGTATATGAATAGGACAGAAATGAAAAAAATATAATTATCTCAATGCATACCTGGTTTTTAAAACTCTAGTAACAGTAGAAATGAAATACATTTCCTTAGTGAAAAATTTGTTCAAATTAACTTCTATTATATCATTAGTAGTAAAGCACTTGAAACATTTTTATGAAATTCAGGAGTAAGAAAATGTTGCTTTAACTATGTTTTAGCTGTAGTTCCATTATTGAATAATAATCTTGAAGTACTAGCCAGTGCAATTAATCAAGAAAAGTAAAAATTGGAAAATAGAAGTATTAATGTAAATAAAATATAAAATCAGTTAAAATAATAGAAATACATAGAACTGTAGCATTACTTGTAGATAATGATTGCTAGAAATATTTTAAAACCTATTAAAAATATTATGTGGCCAGTTATAAAATAAATACCAAAAGAATTGTTTTTGTGGTTGTTTTTATACTATCAGAAACAATTTAGTCATAAGTAACTGGAATAGTCCTTACTTGCCAGACATTGTAAACACAAAATAACAGGGAATAAATATGACATGAGATGTTGTAAGAGGTACATGCAGAAAACTCTAAAACTTTGCTAAGCACTGTAAAAGAAGACAGACCAATAAGTATACTATAAATATACTCTGGTCTTGGGTAGGGGAACTCCATATTAGGTCCTAATGCAGTTAATAAATTCAGTGCAATAACAATAAAATTGCAACATTTTTAAAGGGAATTTGACAAAACATGGCTAATTTTATCTTGAAAATTACTAAAAATGGCCAGGAGAATTCATACTAATTCAGGAACAGAGGGTAATAAAAGCACACAGAGAGGTCCAGTGGACTTAAGTAAGTATAGAAATGTATTTTATATGGTAAAGTTGACTTCTAATCCATTAATAAAGTGTTGTAACGATGACAAACTACTCTGAAAAAAAAATAAAATGGATATTTGCTATTCACCAAAATATATTGGATTTTTAAAACTGTAATATAAAATAATGAAAGTTCAAAAGGCTAAAAAGAAGAAAAGAAGCGTCATTTTTTCCCTCTAGCCTTAGACTAGGTAAGGGCTTTCTTAACATGACACTGAAAGTTTTACTAGGTGAAAATGATAATAAATTATGTAATTCTATTAAATAATATAATAACAAGTGAAAATCCAGTATGGTAAACAAAAGTAAACAAGATTTTTTTTTAGTAGGTTGAATTTATTTAATTTTTTTTCTTTTCCAAGTTTTTATTTTATTTTATTTTAAGATTTTATTTAATTATTTGACAGAGAGAGATCACAAGTAGGCAGAGAGGCATGCAGAGAAGGTGGGGAAGCAGGCTCCCCACTGAGCAGAGAGCCTGATGCGGGGCTTTATTCCAGGACCCTGAGATCGTGACCTGAGCTGAAGGCAACTTTTTTTTTTTTTTTTTTTTTTTTTTTTTAGTTTTGGCTACAGTTTATTACAGTAAAAGGATACAGATTAAAATCAGCGGGAGAAAAAAAAGGCACATGGGACACAGGCCAAGAGACACCTACTCTCCTTCCCAGTGGAGTCACAAGGACAATGTGAATTCTCCTAGTGACAATGTATGACCGTGTACAAGGGGACTCCCAACCAGGGAAGCTCCTCCCAGCCTTGGGCACCAAGGCTTTTCCCGGGGGTCAGTCACAGGGGCAGGCCTTAGTCTCCAGCCCCTCCAGAGGTCAAGCTGATACCTCCTGGCCCAAGGCCACAGGTTAAACAAAAACACTCTTAACAGCCAGGATACCCCAGGGCTTAGGGGTTGCCTCCCAGGAGCCAGTCAAGGGCCCATGCTCTTTTGGGAACATGCAGTCTGCCCATCCCAGGCCTGCAGTTAGCCCTTCACGGCGCACCCATTAACTCCAGAAGTGGAACTGTTGTCAAGGGCCTGGTTTGAAAGGCCAGGACCACCAGGTTCTGACATCCAGGGAAACTTTACACATTTACTGGCCTTATAGTCAGAGAGTTTCCAGGATTTAAGTCATAGAGCCAAAAGGCAGGGTATAGAGGAGAGGAGGCTGAGCCACCCAGGCGCCCCTCAAGTTTTTATTTAAATTCCAGTTAGTTAATACACACTGTAATATTAGTTTCCGGAGTAGACTTTAGTGATTCATCGCTTACATACAACACCCAGTGCTTGGCACACCCCCACCTTCATACCCATCCACCTATTAAGCCCATCCCCTGCCCACCTCCCTCCATCAACCCTCAGTTCTCTATCATTAAGAGCCCACTTCCTGGTTTACCTCTCCTTTTCCCTGCCTATGTTTATCTGTTTCGTTTCTTAAATTCCACAAATGAGTGAAATTGTATGGTATTTGTCTTTCTCTGACCGACTTATTTCACTTAGCATAATACTCTCTAGCTCTGTCCACATCGTGGCAAATGGCAAGATTTTGTTCTTTTTGATGACTGAGTAATACTCCATTGCACATACATACCACATCTTCGTTGTCCATTCATCAATCGGTGGAAAAAGTAAACTAGATTTAAAGGCACACAACTGGCATGGAGTGTATAAAACAGTTAACATCTCTGATTAAACCAGATACTCAAGTAAAAAAAAAAAATTAGATGAAGAGGCACAGGCAGTTTGCAAAAGGAATACTGCAGATATCCAAGGAAATGATGTCAGCATTACTAATAATAAAATAATTAAAATGTAAAAAATACAACTCTCATTCTTTAGCCTGAGAAGAGTGACAAAGGAGAAACCCCACCATAGTCAGGGGAGTGGTGAGGAAAGAACCAACTTGGTGCACTCCGGAGGGAGTGTCTGTCAGTATCCCCAGGCGGAAATCCTATTCCCAATCTGTACCCAAACTACACTCTTGACCTGGCATCCCAGTTCTAGAAATTTATCCCGAACAGATAATCAGACACACTGCTCACTGCAGTGTTGTTTCTACTAGTGAGAAATCGGAAACAACTGAAATGTTCATTAGTAGGAGTTTGGGCTAAAAACACAAGGGTATATGCAAATAATAAAATATTATGCAGCCTTTTAAGAGAATACTACATATCACATGTGTTCACATTATAGAGCAGATAAACACTCAAAAGATTGTTTAGTGGAAAAGAAATTTAAAAACAAAATAGTTTATCTTAGGAAACTGTGTCCTCGTATACACACACAAATAGTGTCAGAAAGAGTTTTGCCCTAAATATTAGCAGTGGTTACTATAATGTCATGAAATCAGAGCTACGTTCTGTTCTTTTTTATAATGTCTATATTTAATTTTTTGTGCATACATTTTTATAATGAGAAAAAAAGACCCACCTACTTTTTGTCTTGAACAACTCCCACAGTCTATTTTAGGAATCTGAATTATCCTGCCTTGCTGTCTACACTGACTGATTAGCCACACCTATGCCTGGGTAGTGCACGTCAGGGCTGACGGCATGGACCACCCAGGTCGCTGGCTCACGCGGACCCTGCAGGCTGGCAAGGGAGGCCCATAGTGACAAGCAGAGGTGACTCCCCTGGGCCCCTGGTGACGTGTTCAGTTGCCTAGCTGGGGAGTCTCCAAGCACACTGTGTGTGGGGAGAGGTGGCTTGAGAGGCCCAGGTACAGATCAGGACAGGAGGTACCAGAGGGCACTTGGGAGCCGGGAAAGTTCCTCTGTTGGCTCCGGAATTCAGGTTGAGGCAGAAACGAGGTGGAGAAAAACCCCTCCTAGCATCTTAGAAACTCTTGACTCCTGGATTCTGAGGGTTGCAGGAGCTTTGGGCTCCCCAGGATACCTGGTCTTGTTCTTACTGACAAACTGCCTTTGCTAGCATTTACTGGACATTTTGCTTTCGGTTAGCTCTCCCTGGTTTTTGTGTGTTTCGATAAATACATTGTAAAGGGGGACTTTTAATGATTGTTATCATTGGACACCAATTTTGTGTCCTATGAAAATTAGGTAGCTGCATCAAGCACATAGCAAAATGGCAACAAAAGGAGGGTTGCTGGGGTTTGCAGCAGGAAGCCCTGAGCTGCTCCTACACACAGCCTCCGTGTTAACACAGGAGATCAGCACGTTTTCGAGAGATGCACTAGCTCAGAACTGAGCCTCACTCTCCAGCATGAAGCGTTCTCACCACACACTGTGCTTTGTTGTCCTCATACCGTGTGAGATCATTTCATGAGCCAGGAGAGCAATGCTGTTCCAGTCCAGTATGACCTCCGAGAGGCCCCTCCACCAGGGGGTCTGCTCCCACCCTCCTGGGCAGCACCTCCTGTAAGAGATGAAGTTTCTTGAAGGGTAAGATGGGTGGTGGTTGGAACGTCATGTCCCCCTTGTCTGGCCTGATCTGTAGGCCTTTGAGGACATCTACCTGGAGGAGCGGAAGACCATCAAGGTTCTGCTCGAGTATGCTGACAAGATGTTCACCTACGTCTTTGTGCTGGAGATGCTGCTCAAGTGGGTGGCCTATGGCTTTAAGAAGTACTTCACCAATGCCTGGTGCTGGCTGGACTTCCTCATCGTGGATGTGAGTGCGGCCCAGAAACGGGGAGGGGTGGGGAGACGGGCTGCCAGGGCAGGAAGGAGCTGAAGCAGAGGCACGGGAGGACGGAGGGACAGGGCGGGTGGGGGTCAGCAGGCTGATGTGAGGCACTCAGCTGGGCCACAGAGCATGCAGAGGGGAGGGAGGCCGCCATCTGGGGTCACAGGAGAGCCCCAGAGCCTGCCCATAAGGTTTCTAGGCTGGGAGGGATAGGAACCTGGGTGTGGCCATCAGAACCCCAAATTGGAGAGACAGAGGAGCAGGGGGAGACCTAGGCTTCTGGGGAGACGTGACTCACTACAGGGGAAAGTGAGGAGCAGTCCAAGCAAGAGTGCCCCCCCACGCCCACCGCCCCCTCAGGATGGCCAGAAGTCAGGGAGCAGACTAGCCTGTATCCCAGCACTGCCCATGTGTGTCATGAAGTGTCTGTCAGGGCCCCCTAGACAGGTGGCCATTTAAGAACCTCTGTGTCCACACAAGGTAGGAGACTGTCTGTGCAGGGGAGAGAGGGAGCCGAAGGCCAGAGGGGACAGGGCTGGTGAAGGGATCCTGGGCAAGGAGGGGCAGGATCTTCTGGGCTCAGGGAGAAGGTACCACTGGGGGAGGATGAGAGAGGGGTGCAGTCACCTGTGACTAAGGGGCTCTGGGTTGCTCCCCTGGACAACTGGGTAGCTGGCACAGCTTTCCTGCCTGTCCAGGGAGGGTCTAGGACAGGAGGTGGCATGTCCTCTGAGCACCCAGTTGGCAGATAGAATGGGAGGCCTCTGCCCCACAGCCACCCAGGCCCCAGGACACTGCTGGGTGCCAAGCAGGGTGAGCGCAGGGCCCCACGGGGCTCCTGAGCACAGGTGAGTGGGAGAATAACTGGAGGGGAAAATGAGACCAGAGTGTGGAGCGGCCTGGGATCTGCTCTGCCTGAGAGCAGAGGGAACAGGCAGAGACAGAGGGCTTCGGTGAGGCTCACTGTCTGGTGGTGGAGGGTCCTGTGGAATGGAACGTGGGTCAGCGTCTGCAGACCCAGAAGGGCTTTCCAGAGGGCACCCGTGGCTTCCGGGCTTGGCCTCAGGCTCTGCCCACCAGCAGGGGCTGTCCTTCCCATGGTTGCACAAGAGGCCCAAGCCTCTGTTCAGCCCCCACACCCCACTCAGAGGCTAAAGGGAGGAGGGGCTCAGCCCAGGTGGGAGGTCAGCCCATGGGTGGCCATAGCAGGAGAGGCTCCTTGGGCTAGAGCGTGCATGGAGACACAGATCCAGTTCCTTGGGCCTCTGGTTCAAGCCTCTTTCTATCACCCCAGTGACGGAGAGGATGCTAATGTTGGGGGAAGGGGTGCTAGGGGGCAGAGAGAGCAGGAGGGAGGTCTAGCTGCCCTTACAGCCTGGGGTCCTCAGAGCCTCCCTGAGAGGAAGGAGAGGACCCAGAAGCCTCCTGCCCTGGGGCTGTGAGAGGGCCCGGGATCCTGGCAGCTCTGCCCTGAGGCTTCTCACCCAGCTATTCCGGCAGCTTCTTGAGAAGTCGGGCCTGCTGAGCCACTCTCCTCAGGGAAGGCAGGAGACGGTTTGCAAGGACTCCGGGGAAGCCCCCCAAGACACCCCCTTGAGGAACTCAGGGCAAAGGGGACCGTCCAGTGCTTCCCGTCCAGTCCCAGAACTGGAGAGTGAGCCTGTGGAGAAGGAAACCGAAGTTCTCAGCAGAGAGGGGCCTTGCCCAAGGTCGAGGAGAAGGAGAAGGAATCCAGCTTTCCTGATGAGGGCCGTGCTGCCCCCTCACTTCATGGGAAATGCCATCTTCAGGCCCCAGGGTCTGGTGAAGGCTATTTCCAGAATCAATCCCTGCATTTTTTTTTTTCAATAAATACTATTGGGTATCTACTATCATAGGTGCTGGGGATCTCGGGGACCAAAATAGACTAAAATCTCTGCTTACACGGACGAAGGCAACCACGAACAATAAATGTACCCAGTAAGCCAGCTTTATACTCAGAAGCTGGCGTGTACCAGGGAGAAACAAGATGTGGAAAACGAAAGGGGATTAAGAGGGCCAGGACGCCCGCGAGGGGAAGGTATAGATGACAACTTTAAATAGGCTGACCAGGTTGGGTTCACTGAGATGACACTGGAGCAAATGTGAAGGAAGCTGGGGTTAGCCAGGTAGAACCTTCCACACAGAGGTTGGAACAGCAGTGCAAAGGTCCTGTGGTGGAGCATGCGTGGCATACTTGAGGAACTGCAAGGAGGCCAGAGTGGCTGGAGCAGAGTCAGTGGGGAAAGAAAGAGCAGCAGATGAGGCAGGACGGCAAGGGGCAGAGCAGGGCGCCACCTTGGAAAACCGTGGGCTTTTATTTAGAATGAAGTGGGAAGGCATTGCGACACTCCGAGCATGAGAGTGGCATGAAGTGACTCCTCTTACTGGAGGAGCCCAGGGGGTGGGGGTGGGGCACCCACAGAGGGAGGCATAAGAGTCAGGAGGCTGTGGCGGCTGTCCAGGGGAGAGAGGACAGCGGCCTGGCCAGGATGGTGGCAGTGGCAATGGTGAGAAGTATTTGGACTTCTGATGTATTTTGAAGGCAGAGCCAACAGGAAATCCTGCCGGGGTGGACGGAGGGTGTGAGAGACAGAGAGGAGGCAGGGATAATGCCAAGGCTTGTGGCCTGAGCAGCTGGAAGGATGGAGTGGCCCTCAGCTGAGATGGAAGGGCTCTGCGTGGGGCAGGTGCACAAGCTTCAGTGGCACAGACAATGGGGGCGAACTGCTGGGAACAAGGGGACAGACTGGCCAGAGCTGGTTGCTGGGCCGCAGAGTCCCTGCTCGCGTCTCCCACCTTCCAAGATGTCTGATGTTGCAAAGTCCAGCTTTAGGGGAGAGCCCCAGGATTGTCTGTCCGCTCACAGTCAGCCCAGGCCCGTCCTTCCTTCTCAAGAAGAGACTTCTTTGGGGGAGGGATGGGCAGGCCCAAGAATCTGACTCGAAGGAGGGCCGGTGGGGACCGAAAGCCCAGGCTTTGTGTGCCAGCTCCTCCGTGCAGTGGCTGGCTTGGGAATTCGGGTTTCTATCCGTAGAACAGGGAGAATGCATCCCAAGTCCACGGGTTAGTGAGTGCACAGGGCAGGCTCTCAGCAAAGATCTGAAGGCTGGGACACACTAGTCTCACCCCCAGGCTCCTTGGCCCCAGGAAGGCCAGCCCAGTGCGTGGCGGCCACAAAGCGATGCCACTGGAAATAGCACAGACTAGACATGGGGAAAGCCTGCTGGCTCTTCACACTGGCCCTGCTTTAGGTGGGCTGGGAGACCCACCACCCGACTCTAGAGCTGTCCCCACGGCACTCATGCTCACCTTACGCTCCCACAGGTCTCCCTGATCAGCCTGGTAGCCAACACCCTGGGCTTTGCCGAGATGGGCCCCATCAAGTCGCTGCGGACGTTGCGTGCGCTCCGACCCCTGCGAGCCCTGTCACGGTTTGAGGGCATGAGGGTAAGAGGGGCGACTGTCTTCCTGCCAGGGCAGTGGGAGGTGACTCCACTGAGACAACCTGGGTCCACTGGCTGACCGAGAAGCCCAGCCCAAAGCTGGGACTTTGGCCCCCCAGCCTGTAAGGGCAGGGTGCAAAGTCTCTAGGAGGAGTGCTGCTGGGCTCGCAGGCACCCAAAGGGTGGAGAGCGGTGAGACCCCTCCCCCTAGGCCTGCCACCTCCTGCTTCCGCTATGGGGCGGGGGGCCATCTGTGTGTGTGCTCTGCCTCCACAGGCCGGCCTGTGTGCCCGCCTCCTGGCAGACACAGGCTGTCTTCTTGGTCTGCCATGGGCAGCACAGCTGTGCCAGTCAAGGTGAAGGAAGCAAGGAGGGAGCAGCTCTACCCTCACCATCACACAGCGGTTGGCATTTACTTAGCAAACTCTTTCACACTGATTCCTAAGTGCAGAGCCCTATGCATTTTTTAAGTCATCAAATTTCACCAAAGAATATGTGCATATAAGGCAACTTTAAAAGCCCCACCAAGGCGCCTGGGTGGCTCCGTTGGTTAAACCTCTGCCTTCATCTCAGGTCATGATCCCAGGGTCCTGGGATCAAGCCGTACATCAGGCTCCCTGCTCAGCAGAGAGCCTGCCTCACCCTCTCCCACTCCCCTTGCTTGTGCTCGCTCTTGCTCTCTCTGTGTCAAGTAAATAAATAAAATCTTTTAAAAATAAAATGAAATGAAAACCTCACCAAGAAAAAACATTACCCCATAATACGTAGCAAGAAAACAAACACGTGTGTACGTTTGTATGCACATGTGTTTTTTGTTTTTTTACAAAACCTGCACAGTTCTGCTGCAGCTTCATCAGCCACACCTGTGTGTCTCTTGCTGCCCCAGCAGGCCCCATCCCACAGCCCCCATTTTGTTGATGGTTTCAAACTTTGCCCACACCCCTAAGAGGGAAACAAGTCACTTATTCCTGGTGCGAAAGCATTCACAAATGAATCATCCCACCCTAAGTTCAATGTCTCTTGGGATTAAGGGCATTTGATTCCCAAGGGCTGTGGGGGAGATGCTAGTAGCCACGAGTGCCTCTGCTGGGGCTGTCGGCCATGGAGCCACCTCATGGTTTCCACCCTGTTCATCATGCCTGCTGGGGACAAGGGAACCCTTCTCACCTGCACGTGTCCACATCACCCATCCCAGCCCCATGCTCACCACATCGCCCCATACCAGCGTCACTTCCAATCAAACACCGTTCTGACTCCAGGACGGCTGGACACTCGGCCCTCAGGGGAGCAGAGCCCACCGTGTGCCTTTGCCAAGGAAGCCTCCCCGAGTTGCTCTGAATTTCGATGACAAACCAACACCAGGGCTCCACGGGGTCAGAGAGCTGCTCACGGGAAGGCGGAAGCCCAGGGAGCGCCCACACCACACCATCCCCCCCCCCCCACCCTCCACCCTCCCAGCTGGGCTCTCACCACATGTTGGAGAACTGCTGAAGCCCCCGCCAGACACGCCTCACAGAGGTCCCCGGGGCATCCTTTAGGGAGAACACCCATCCTTCCTAGTATCAGCAACCTCAAAATAAACCAGAAACTTAGCTCAAATATGTGTCTCTGGAGGCCCTTTCCCATCAGACTGCTGGCATACTTAACTAGAGAGACCCTGTTGAAAATTCAGTGTGAAGGTCATGAATTCAGGGCAGGACCAGAAAAGAAAGGCAGAGTTTCTGGAGTTGCAATGGACATTAGTGTGCAAAAACAACAAAAAGTGTGTGTGTGTGTTCTCTACCCCAGCCCCACCCACCAACCCCCCATCATCTCTCCTTTTATTCCCCATCAGGGCTTCCACGCAGGGTGGAGTTAAGTGGGGGAAGTAGGGACGTGGGTAGGCACATCTTGAAAAGGGCATATGCTCTGGGCACTCCCAGGAATGGAGCCTCTTCTCTGTCCACTTGAGGTTGTGGTCAATGCCCTGGTGGGCGCCATCCCGTCCATCATGAATGTCCTCCTCGTCTGCCTCATCTTCTGGCTCATCTTCAGCATCATGGGCGTGAACCTTTTCGCGGGAAAGTTTGGGAGATGCATCAACCAGACTGAGGGAGACCTGCCTTTGAACTACACCATCGTGAACAACAAGAGCGACTGTGAGTCTTTCAACGTGACTGGCGAACTGTACTGGACCAAGGTGAAAGTCAACTTTGACAACGTGGGGGCCGGGTACCTGGCCCTTCTGCAGGTGGTAAGTCGTGGAGGGGAGGGACTTCCTTCTTCCCACTGGCTGTCCAGCAACAGGCACCTTCACCCACAGTGTGGGCTGATGGGGGACAGTGGACCCCCTCTGGGTCCTCACAATAGGGTCACACTGCCCAAAGGAAGCTAAGGATACTCCAGAGACTTCTTGGCTCCTTGGTAAATCCCTGGATTTTCTATTCTAGAACAAGTGCCACATTCTCCAAGACGCATGGCTTGGGGGTTCAGCACTGAGGCAGACCCAGCTCCCCAGCCAGTGGCCAAGTTGACAGCCTCATGCTACCAATTTGGTGGTGTGATGACACAGGTTAAAAATCAAAGACCAGAGACACACAGAGACTGAACTGTTAGCCACACAGTGACTCCAGCCTTCTGTTATGAAACACACATGACCCCACCCAGTCCTTCCAAAGTTTCCATTGATTTGTGAGAGTGGAGGCTTCAGTGAGCATGATACAAGGGCATGAAGTTAACCTACAAGTAGCCTTGACAGCAGACAGAGTCTTAACACAGAGAATCATAACTTGCTTCACTTGCTACCCCAGTCTTAAGCCCAGAGACCTGTCTCTAGTCCCCAAAGCAGAGGAACACTCAGTGGGCTCTCATCTGAAAATTTAATGCACATCTACTCGCTCCTCCAGCTCTCCCTTCAATCCCAGGGGTAGCTTTTTCCAAAGACTCCCTGAAATACCTCCTAGAGGGCAAGATTAGAGCCAAATCCAGAGAGCCTTCTGTCCCAGAGACCTCCCTCTAAATGTCAGAACTTGGAAGGAAAGCCCATTCCGACAGAACGACATAGTGGCCAGAAAAGCAGTCACAAGCATCTCGTCACCTTGGGTGCTCTCCAGCAGCTGGTTTCCAGAGCACGCCCAGTCCTCTCTGCACCAGACAGGGCTTCCTGGCACGGGGAGCTGAAGTAGCTTGCCTGGTCTGGGGCAGCCTCAGTTTCCCCATCTGCCCTGCCTGTGTCCGAAGAACTCTCAGACATGAAAGTTTGTATGGGCAATTGTACCCTGAAAGGAGGCTTGTGGCAGGATTGGCTTTTGCCAAGGACAAAAGTGAGACACCCTGGACAGTCAGCCTCACCACCAAGCATGTCTCTCAGGTTCTTTCAGAATCTTCATAGCAGCCCAGGCTGGGGCGGACAGTGCAGCCAACACCAGAACCCTGTGGCATCTGGCCGCCTCCTCTGCTGCCTTGGGGCAGCAGGCTTGTGTGGGCTCATGGGAGCTGATTGTTGCATTTTCAGATATTTTGTAAGCCGTGGTTAAAAATCAGATTTTATAAACTTACAATTCATTAAGTGATATTAAAACAAAATCAGAGGGTGGCTGGCCGGCTCAGTCAGAGGAGCATGCCACTATTGACCTCAGGATTGTGGGTTCAAGCCCCATGTTGGGTGTAGAGATTACTTTAAAAAATAAAATTAAAAACAAAATTCACTATTACCATCTATTATCATCTATGCCCCTGAGGTTGTTCATATGTGCTGTGTCCGTACAGTGGAGACTACAAAGCCCCACTCCTATGTGTCTCTTCCCACATCTGTGTTCAGTAACAGCCTGTTGGTAACTTGAAACTGACCATGGCGGGAGTGTTTACCCAGAGAAACTGGCAAACACAACAATCAGGGCTTTGTTTTCTTCTTGAAAACTGTTTGTTAGCCACTTACCAACACACCACTGGCAAAAGGACCCCCCTTAAGTATAAGGGGAGGTGGGTATGCTTCAGGGCCATCCTGAGAGGCCACAGAGCAGAAGCCACAGGCTGCTCTGAGGTGCACGACAGAGGGGACCAGGTCAGGACGGGGGTCCACCTCTCTGTCGCTGACACCTGCTGTAGGACTGCATCGTTTTAGAATCTGGAATGAAGGTAGATCTGATAGGCAGACCTCCTTCAGTCCTCCTCAGTCGCCTAGCCAACTTCGAGAAACTTCTTAACCTACTCCGTGGCCTCCTTGGGGTGTAAGCTCAGCCAGCCTCCCCTCCACCTCCAGCCCTGAACAAGGCCTTTTCCTGACCACACAGCCACGTGGACCCGGCCAAAGGGAGGGGCACGATGCTTGCTTCTCGTAGGAAGCTGTTGCCTGACCTCATCTGTCCGGACAAGAGCCCCTCGTAGCTCAACAGATGCAAGTTCACTGATTCTTACTCTTGTCTTTTCCTTCCAGGCAACATTTAAAGGCTGGATGGACATTATGTATGCAGCTGTGGACTCCAGAGGGGTAGGTAACCATGCTGGCCTCTCCCACCAAGTCAGGCACCTGAGGCTCCAGAACGCTTGGCCACTAGTGCCTCAGTGCCCACACCCAAGAGCCCACCCAATAAGGGCCAGGGGCCTGTGTCAGCCTGCAGCTGAGCCTCTCTGGAAGGCCCAGGCCAGGCCCTGGGCAAAGTTGCATGATCTCCCAAGGAACCCCAAATCCTCAAATATCTTTCCAATTAACTTCACTGTAATTTACGTGAATCTTAGTCTTACCCAAGAAGAGACCGGGTGGAAGGAATAAAGATGCAGATCAAGTTTCTTCTGTGTTCTTATACCCCACCCCGTCACAGTGTCAGCCCCCAGCCATCACTCTTCGGAACTCCGGCCCTGTCCACCCCGGCCCGCTCTGCACGCGCAGACACACAGACACGCAGCCCTGTGCTGGTGCCCTCGCTCCAGACACACCCTCTCTCCCAGGCAGCCCTGCCCCATTCCTGCCAGCCTGACCCCCATGTCTGGCTTCTCCCCCTCAGTATGAAGAGCAGCCCCAGTGGGAATACAACCTCTACATGTACATCTACTTCGTCATCTTCATTATCTTCGGGTCTTTCTTCACCCTGAACCTTTTCATCGGTGTCATCATCGACAACTTCAACCAACAGAAGAAAAAGATGCGTAGAGCACCTGCTCCCTATGGGCCAGCAGGGGAGGGCTAGGCACCAGGGGACTGAGGAGCCATTCTGGCCCTGGCCCCATTCTGCCTTCCTGCTGGGGACAACCGGTCTTCCTCCTGTGCTGCTGGAGTGGGTGGGAGAGGGACGTGTCCTTGACGTAACAGCACCCCCCAACCCGTAAGAGTGGAAGGAGGGATGCCATGCCTGCCCTAGCCTACCTGACCCGGGAGGCTCCTGAGAGGAGCTGGGCTAAGGGTTGGGACTACTCACCCAGTCCACAATTGAGACAGTGGCCTGAGGTCTCTCCAGCGCTACCAGCTAGGCAGAGAGAATGTCCAGGGTGGCTGAGCTGGAAAGAGGAGAGGGTGGGGGATGGGGACTGGATTTGCACCTCCCAAAGCCAGAGAGGCCTCAGAGTAAAGGGAGACAGGGATCCTGCAAAAGCAGATTTGGGGAGGACTCTCTGGTGCAGGATAGGGACATACTCCTCTCCACCGGGAGAGGAAGTGAGGAGGAAGCTGGCCAAGGCACCCGAATCAAGGAGGCAAGATCCCTATATGCCCCATGCCAGAGCCCCTGAGAACCCCAAAATGAGTCTGGTGCTGTCTCTCTGCACTTAGGGGGACAGGACATCTTCATGACCGAGGAGCAGAAGAAGTACTACAACGCCATGAAGAAACTGGGCTCCAAGAAACCCCAGAAGCCCATCCCAAGGCCCCTGGTGAGCCAGCTTCTGATTCAGCAAGAATGGAGGGTTGGGCTGGGGGGGCCTGGGAAACCCCAAACCCCAGGACTACTGAATTTTCCAATGAAAGCCTAAGTGAGCTTGCCCAAATTGTCCACTCAGATTTGTCTATTTCCTTAATAGTAAAAATTCTTAAAGATGTACTTTTCAAGTTCATTAATCAATAGGGTTTTTATAGGATGATATCACTGGAAGCAGTTTTACACTATAGAAAATGGAAATCTGCAAAGTTTGGGAAAGTTGCTCCAAGAATGTATTAAGGAAAATAACACAGGATTTGACATCTTGTTTATCCTTTCTCTATGGTACCACAAACAGTTTGCCGATGTCAGGAGTGGGGTTTGGACCCAAAAGGCTAGAAAAAGTGCCAGGAAGACCACAAAGAAGACTTATCATGCTTTTGATCTATTCAAAGAGACTGAGGAAGGGTTGAAAACAGGGCTGTGAAAAATCAATATTCTTTAAAATATGATATATGATATTTTCATATGAACATATGGGCATTTTTAATCTGATGGTATTTAATGTAAAAGAATGAAAGAACATGAAACTGCTCCAAAATTTAATCCTCCCCCCCCCCCCCGCAAAAAAAAAATCAGTCAACCAGGGCCATCGGTCAGTGGGTCAGTGCAGGGATGGAGGGGCTCTGTCAGGCATCTCAGACTCCTGGAGGAAGTGAGGAAGGCATGGGCAGCTGTTCCAACCAGGAGGGCTCCCTCCCACGGGAGTCCTTCTCCTCTGAGTGCGCCCTCTTCCCCTGCCAGAGTGTGAGAGCAAGACAGCCTCTGTCTGCCCACCCCCATTCACAACCTCTTCCTTCAGGGGACGGACTCAGCCCGAGTCCCCTGGCAGGAGGTGCCAGGAGGGACACTCAGTCCCCTGTGAGACGGACTCCCTTGCCTGACCAAGCCATTCTTCAAAAAAGTGGGGGGGAGGGGATCAGTACTCAAAGTAATTAGGTGACATAACCCAAATCACTAGCTAGGAAGTGACTGTACCAGGTTTTTAATCCAGTTCATCAATTTTATCTAATTCCTACCCTTTCACCATGCTTTGTTTTATGTTAGGTGTGTGTGTGTGTGTTATTTATAGTTTTCTCTCTTTCCCCAGATAATCTGAGGTGGCTAACGATTAAAGACACTTAAATATAGTTAATTGAATAAACAGAATCAATTCCATAAAGGATGGAGAAAATTTGTTAACCTGACGACCAATTACTAGGATTGAACTTTAAATTTGACCTTGAGCCATCAGACAGTGGGTACAAAAAAGAAGCACAGTGAATGATGATGTGTTAGGGAAGGTCTGGATAGGAGAAATCTTTCCTGAAGGTTCAGAAAAGACTTCAGGGAAGAGAGAGCACGAGGGCTGGGCCTGGAAGCAGGAGAGCCAAGCTGTTTCAGCCTCCTGACCTCCTCTCACCCCAACGGTCTCACCAGAGTGTGGAGAGGCAGAGTGGATGGTCTGGGCTGAGGGGCAGCAACAGGCCTGAGGTCCCAACTGAGCCCATCCTTTGCCCCTCCTTCCAGAACAAGTACCAGGGCTTCCTGTTCGACATTGTGACTAAGCAGGCCTTCGATGTCACCATCATGTTTCTCATCTGCTTGAACATGGTGACCATGATGGTGGAGACAGATGACCAGAGCCCCGAGAAGGTCAACATCTTGGCCAAGATCAACCTGCTCTTTGTAGCCATCTTCACAGGCGAGTGTATCATCAAGATGGCTGCCCTCCGTCACTATTACTTCACCAACAGCTGGAACATCTTTGACTTCGTGGTTGTCATCCTCTCCATAGTGGGTGGGTATGCAGGCCTTTCCTCCAGTCCTGTGTCTGTATTAATGCCAAGTGTACTAGACTCCTTTGTTGTTTTCGCTGCATTCCACACCTCTCCCTGTCACACACACACATGCACACACACCTCCACAGAGAACTTGTCTGGGAAGGCCCACTCAGGCCAGGGGAGCCATCCTGACAGAGGAGCCAGCACACCCTCCATGGGATTCTCTGTGAGAGCTTTAAGGATGAATCTGGGAAAGGTAGTGGGAGCTGGCTTCCCGGCCTTCCCAAGGGAAAGGTTAAGGGAAGAAGAGGCTTTCTTAGGGTGAGATGAGTCTCCAGGGATGGGAATAGGTAGCCCTCTAGGGTAGAACTGATGCCTGGAGATGGAAAATTCTAGAGTTTAGCCACGAAGATGTGTGCCAGACTCTTTCAGACATCACTTGCCTAGTGCAATTGAACTTACAAAGTCTACCTTGAGGCAAGGAGATCATCCAACTAGGAACAGAAGAGATAGGATTCACACTCTCTCTGTTCGGGCTGCTATAACCAAACACCAGACTGGGTAACTCATAAACACCAGAAATTCCTTTCTCACAGTTCTGGGTGCTGAAGGTCCAAGATTAAGGCACCAGCATGGTCATGTCTTCTTGTGAGTGTCCTTCCCCTGGTTTATAACCAGCACCCTCTTGACTATGTCCTCACAAAGTGGAAGAGGCAAGGGAGCTCTCTGGGGTCTCTTTTATAAGGCACTGATCCCACTCATGAGGGCCCCAGCCTCATGACCATAGCACCTCCCAAAGGTCTCACCTCCTAATACCATCATCTTTGGGAGTTGGAATTTCAACATACGAATTTGGTAGGAGAGTCAACCATTCAAACCATACCACACGTCCATGTCTGACTTCAGGGTTCAAATCCTCTTTTATTTTTGTTATTTATGTATTTATTTATTGAGTGAATGAGAGAGCAGGATGGTGGGAGGGGCAGAGAGAGGGGAGAGAGAATCTGAAGCAGACTCGCCACTCAGCGCAGAGCCCAACACGGGGCTCCATCTCACCACCGTGAGACCGTGACCTGAGCCAAAATCAAGAGTCGGACGCTTAGCCAACTGAGCCATCCAGGTGCCCCCCCTTTTTAAATAGTAACCTTATTGAGATACAATTCACATAACTTAAGATTTACCTTTTTAAGTTTATGATTTAGTAGTTGCTAGTATACTCACAGAGTTGTGTGACCATCACTGCTACATCTCATCTTAGAATATTTCCCTTGCCCCCAACAGAGACTCTGCACCCTTTTAGCAGTCACTTCCCATTTTCCCTCTCCCCAGCCCCTGAAACCACAAGATTTTGAAGGACTGCCAAACTGTTTTCGAAAGCAGGTGCCCCGTTCTACATTCCCACCCTCAATGTAGAAGGGTTCCAGTGACTCCACATCCCCACCAACACTTGTTACTGTCTATAATTTCTTACCACAGCCATGCTGGCAGGTATGACATGATCATCTCGTTGAGGTTTTGGTGTGCATTTCCTTCCTAACGATGCTGAGCATCTTTTCATGTGCTAATTGATGACTTCCCATGGTGTGTCTTGGTCTATAACAGGAGAAATGTTTTAGAGACTGGTCTATTCAAATTCTTTGCTTATTTTTTTAATCAGCTTACTTATGTTTTTATTGTTGAATTGTAAGAGTTCTTTATATATTCTGGACACCAGCCCCTTATCTGATACACAATTTGCAAATATTCTTTCCCATTCTGTGGGTTGTCATGTCACTTTCTTGGTGGTTGTTTCTTGGAGCACAGAATTTTTGTTTTGATTAAGTCCCAGTTCATCAAAGTTATTTTTCCTTTTTGTCGCCTGTGCTCAGAGCCCAAACTCTCGGCCCCTCCCCCATGAAACTCTGCTATGGGGTGGCTGACTTTCCTCTTTCTGCTGCCCATGTACATACAGCCCATGCCTTTGGTGACCTCAGAGGAAAACGCGGGGATTGAGGCAGGGGCTGCCATATCTGTGGTGACAGGGAGATGGTTAGAAGCTGGATGCAGGGTCAGGAAATGCTCTGGGAGGTCCCAGACAGGGGTGAGGGTGAGCATGCCGGGTGGGACTAGAGAGAAGCTTTAGAGAATGCAGGATGTCAGCAGCTGCAAGGAGCCAATGAGGGGTGGTTGTGGGGAGCTTTGAGACAAAGTGCAGCATGTACCTCAGAAGCACCTACGGGTCCTGGTGCCTGGCCGTACTGGAAGGGCTTGGCTAACAGCTCCACTTGGAGCCAGAGGGTCTGAGTCGAATCCCAGCATCTCACTGACGAGGTGACAGCTTAGGTCAGTTACCTCACTTCTCAGTTCCCTCTTCTGGAAAATGAGGACAAGGGTATCCGCTTACCTCCTCGGGTGACCGGAAGGGCTAAATGGATGGATATAAAATGCTCAGCCCAGTGGCTTATTGACAGTAAACATGACCCATGACAGCTGGTGACATGCTTACATGAGGAATCTAGAAAGGTCACTTGGGCCAATACGAAGAGTTTTTTTCACTCTTTCTCCTGTAACTTATATGCCTGCTTCTTGAAACTCCAAACCCAGAGTTGTCAATAGAGACCAAGGGGAAGCCCCGGAAGCTAGCAGGGCTGGGAGGATGACAGTAACGATGGCAGAAACGCTGAGTTGCGACAGGCATGGCGTAGTGGAGAACACGGACTTGTGGGCCGGTGCTTCTTGCCCTTCCATGAGCACATGAATCATCTGGGCTTATTAAAACGCAGTGGGACTGCGGGTGAAACTGAGAATCCATTTTCTGGATTCTGATAATCAGCCCAGGAGATCCCAGGGCTGCTGGTCCTCGGACCACACTTTGGGTAATGAAGAGCTAAAAAGCCTGAGTTCTGATCCAAGCTAGGCCCCCTTGAGGCCTCAGAACCCACAATCTAGAAGATGGGCCCAGTATGTCTTTACTGTGCAGGTGTTCTCAGAAGGCTAAGGGACCAGAGATCTGGGAAGGCACTTTGCAAAAGGTGTGGGTACTGTGCATCTTGTTTTCTGGATCATAAATGAGAAATGGAGCCCCAGAGAGATGGGAGGATGCAGGGTCCTTGCATACCCTCATTGACCTGGTCCTCCTGAAGGGGCCTCCTCCCCTTAGCTCCTTGCCATACAGAGACACCCTCATTGACCTGGTCCTCCTGAAGGGGCCTCCTCCCCTTAGCTCCTTGCCATACAGAGACCCATCCAGTGACACAGGGCGAGGGTGAGGACAGAGGTGCACAGGTGGCCATGGTCTCTGTTTTTTCCCACAGGTACTGTGCTCTCAGACATCATCCAGAAGTACTTCTTCTCCCCAACACTCTTCCGAGTCATCCGCCTGGCCCGAATCGGTCGCATCCTCCGGCTGATCCGAGGGGCCAAGGGGATCCGCACGCTGCTCTTTGCCCTCATGATGTCCCTGCCTGCCCTCTTCAACATCGGGCTGCTGCTCTTCCTCGTCATGTTCATCTACTCCATCTTCGGCATGGCCAACTTCGCTTACGTCAAATGGGAGGCTGGCATCGACGACATGTTCAACTTCCAGACCTTCGCCAACAGCATGCTGTGCCTCTTCCAGATCACCACGTCAGCCGGCTGGGATGGCCTCCTCAGCCCTATCCTCAACACAGGACCCCCCTACTGCGACCCTAACCTGCCCAACAGCAACGGCTCCCGGGGCAACTGTGGGAGTCCAGCCGTAGGCATCCTCTTCTTTACCACATACATCATCATCTCCTTCCTCATCGTGGTCAACATGTACATCGCTATCATCCTGGAGAACTTCAGCGTGGCCACAGAGGAGAGCACCGAGCCTCTGAGCGAGGATGACTTCGACATGTTCTACGAGATCTGGGAGAAGTTCGACCCGGAGGCCACCCAGTTCATCGAGTATTCGGCCCTGTCTGACTTTGCCGATGCCCTGTCTGAGCCGCTGCGCATCGCCAAGCCCAACCAGATAAACCTCATCAATATGGACCTGCCCATGGTGAGCGGGGACCGGATCCACTGCATGGACATCCTCTTTGCCTTCACCAAGAGGGTCCTGGGTGAGTCTGGGGAGATGGATGCCCTGAAGATCCAGATGGAGGAGAAGTTCATGGCGGCCAACCCGTCCAAGATCTCCTATGAGCCCATCACCACCACACTCCGGCGCAAGCACGAAGAGGTGTCGGCCACCATCATCCAGCGGGCCTTCCGGAGGCACCTGCTGCAGCGCTCCATGAAGCACGCCTCCTTCCTCTTCCGCCAGCAGGCAGGCAGCAGTGGCCTCTCTGTTGAGGATGCTCCCGAGCAAGAGGGCCTCATCGCCTACATGATGAACGAGAACTTCTCCCAGCGCCTCAGCCCGCCCTCCAGCTCCTCCATCTCCTCCACGTCCTTCCCGCCCTCCTACGACAGCGTCACCAGGGCCACCAGCGATAACCCCCAGGTGCGGGTGTCCGACTACAGCCGCAGTGAGGATCTCGCGGACTTCCCCCCGTCCCCAGACAGGGACCGCGAGTCCATCGTGTGAGTGGCAACCCGGCGGGCCAGGACGCACCGGGGGGCAGCCTGTTGCTTCGCAGCTCACATGACTGCGGCCACAAGCCAGCATCTGCTGGGCCTTCCTTGCTTCGGGCTCGGGGTGTGAGCGATCGGCCTCGGCCCCGCGGCTCCACAAGGCAGAGTTCGGTGGCGCCCACGCGGACAGCCAGAAGCAGGTGGCCGAGCTGACCATCCGGGGAGGCCTGTCACTGGAGGCCCTGCCCACGCCGGTGGCCGGGGCCAGTCAGGCCACATCCTGGGGCTCTGAAAAGCTCTACCATCCCAGCTGCTGAGAAGAAACACAAAACTGAGACTGTAGATGTTGTGAATGGGCTTTCATAAATTTATTATATTTGATATTTTTTTACTTGAGCGAAGAACTAATGTTTTTTCCGTGGACATCAGCAGCAGTTCCCACTGCCTTTTCTTAACTCCCAACGCGAGTGTCTGTGGAGCTGCCCGAACTCTGTTCTCAAAGCGAAAGTACAGCCCAGTGTGGCTCCCGCAGGCCCTCCTCACAGCCCCGGGGCCGGAAGGGGTTCCCCTGCTGCATGGGCTGTGGCACCGGAGGCGCTGAACTCCACCCCTCCCCCAGCGTCTGCACAGAGTCCACACACAGAGGCCTGACACGGGCCACACGCAGCCCAAGCTCCCCTCACACGAGCCTCTGGCAGAAGGGTTCTTGTCAGTGGAGGCTCACTCTGGCCTTCCCTTGTCCCCAGGGTCCTGTTTGCCCCCTGTGTTTTTATGCAGGCCATACTGGGGTCATTTCTACAAGAATACAAAGCTTCCAGAAGAGAGTAGTCGGGGTCCCAGGGCTGGTCCTGGGCGCTGACGTTGCCTTTTCTTCCCAGGAGAACCTGGCCTTCTGCGCGAGTATTAACATTAAAGGGAAGGGCACGAGGGAACGAGCCCCAAGCTTGGCCTGGCCCCCAGCTTGTCCTTGCTCCTGAACCTGGCAGACCCCGCTGCACAGGCCAGGAAGAGAAGTCTGAGCCCCGTGCCACGAGGGCTAAGAAGTTGAACAGCCCTTCACTGTGGGACCCCAGCGCATCTGAAGAAGGGAATCTGTTGTCATGACCGGAGCTCTTTCCAGACCTTTCTGCCTCTCACCATGTGTGCGGGTGGGGGGTGGGAGTGGGGGGACTCCTGTGTGATGCCCAGCAACTCTCCAGACAGAGCAGGGAGGGCAGCGTGGGCCCTGTACCAGGAAGGAGCCTTGGGAGGGTGAGACACTTCCTTGCCCTGGGAGGGGAATGGACTGTGGGCAACCTTGGAAAAGGGAGCCGTGTGGCCCTAGAGCAGCCCCTCTGGGCTCACAGCCTGGGGTCCCGGAGGCACCAGCCGCCGGACAACCTGGGGCAGGGTCCAGGCCCTCCACAGGTCTTGTGAGAAGGCCTTTTCAGGGAAAAATACCTTTTCTAGTCCAGTTACCCCCAGGGCTTCTTGAGCTGCTGACAATCCTATTTAGCATATGCAAATCTTTAAATGCAGAGACCTGTCACCCTGAGAGTGACAGTGTTGGCTGGCGGAGCCTGAGCAGGCAGGGGCTCAGCTGCCCGCCGGTCCCAGCTCTCCAGCAGAGCCGCCACCCGCCTCTGGGCAGCCCCGGAAGCTGGAAACGCTGCTCCTCACCTACCTCACGGGCTGGACGTTCGTGAGCTCGTGGCAGTGCCGAGGGGGCATTGCCAGCGAGTCAAGTATTACGTTTCTTTCTGTTGCCCCGAATTCCCTTGGTGGCCACCCTAGCCCCCGTCCCCCCACCCACCCCAGTGATTTCTCTTCTCCCGTGTTTCCCCTGAGACCAGTGCGGGATGTGGTTCTGACGGTCCCAGACACACTTCTCCGAGTGGAAATCTTATTTTTGTAGCTCTCTGTGCTTTGCTCTCAAGGCTCGGAGCGGTGTGTGCCCCTCCCTGGCACTTGGTGCCCACTGCAGGGGCGGAAACACAGTTTGGGAGTGCAGGCCTGCTGGCCGCCCAGCTGGCCGGAAGGGGGCTGTGGTTTCGAGTGTGTGTGTGTGTGTGTGTGTGTGTGTGTGTAAGGCCTGGGAGCCCTGACACAGGTGCCCAGGGCTGTGGCTGAGGCTGGGTAAGCTAGGCCTGACTCCTTAGCTTTTAGCGTGGCTCTCATTTTCTTTTTCCCAGAATGGCACGATGACCAGTAAGAGGGAAGAGGGTAGAAAAAGGAGGGAGCATCAAGTGCCAGCTGTTGCCTGAGCTAATTGAGCACTTCTCACCAAACTCTGTGTATAAATAAGATACATATTTTTAAAACAAACCAATAAATGGCTTACATGACCTGGCCTGGGCTTTGTTTTTGTGATTTGACAAGGGTGGCGGCAGAGGCCCACCGAGCCTAAGAGGAGATCTCCCCATGAAACCAGCCAGGGGGACGGTGGTGGTGCGAGGACAGGGGCAGGATAAGACCCCAAGAACCACGTGGGACTTGCCCTCATTTTCTCAGGAGAACAGGTGGGAGCGTGGCTGGTCCAGGAAAAGTGGGGGTACTTGGGGCCTGCCTTCCAGGAACCCTTATCTGGGGCACTGTGGAGGGCGAGGGCCGCCATTTGAGGCTTCCATAATGGAGAAGGTTGGGAAGAGTGAGGCCACAGAGGACAGACAGGTGGTCTGTCAGTTAACACAGGTGGACCTGTGGCACCTTCCTCTGGCTCCTCACTGCCGCCCCAGTGCCCCAGCGCCCCACCAAAAGTGCTCCACAGCCAGCAGAGGCCTCCTTGTGGCTGGCTCTCTGTCCTATCCATGGGTCTACTCCATGGGCTCTGACTCAGCAGACATCAGCCCCCTCTGGGGGTGTTGTCCAGGCTTTCCTCCAGGCTCTGGCATTGCCTCCTTCAGGGGACACATCCTCTGGGATCTGACTGACCCTGCCCCGCTTCCAGGAAGATAGAGCAGGAAACACCCTCTGCCCCTCCCCACTACGCACCCCTCTTGCAGCCACGCTTAGAGTGGAGCCTTGATCCGGAGCCCAGTTCCTACCACTGCACCCCAGCCTGGCACGTCCAGCTGCTTCCTGGGACACCAGCATGGCGTTCAAGCCCAGCCACCCAACACTGGGCTGGTCAGTCTCAGCCCGAGTCCCACAGCGGACATCTTCAACTGCAGAATCCTCCTCACCCCCCGGCCAGCCCAGGCCCTACCGGCCTGCCTTGTCTGCGTCTTTCACTCCTGCTGTAAGGGACTCAGGGGCTTCCCTTCCTTCCTTTCCTTTCCCCTCAGCTACCAGAGTGATTTCATCCAAGATGGCTGCCTCCTGGATGAAACCCTTTGCTGGCTTCCTGTTGCCCTGGGATCCAGGCAAGCGGTACCTGGGCCTCCAGCCCCACCAGCCTCTGTGACCACCTCTTTCTCTAGCCCTCAGGGACCCAGGCTCTTCTTCCTCGAGACCCTACCAGCTGCTGTTCCCTGCACTAGGAACACACTGGCCTCCTCTCCACTCAACCCAGGGGACTCATCTTAACGTCGCCTCCTCTGGGAGCATTCCCTGACCACCCAACCCCCTTCCCCATCACCTGCCCCCCACTCTAGTTACTGCCCTTGTCACAGCACTGAATACCACTTATTGCAAACACCTGCAAAGCCCATTTTATTCCATTTTATTCAGCAGATGCAATCTTGCCCTGACCCTGGATGAAAACAGGGCTGACCCTGAGGCCAATTCCGTGGCCATTCGGTTCCATCTTGGATAAAACAGCAGCCTGCAGCCACGCTGTAAATATGATCTCAGCCTGGGCCCAAAACTGCCCATCCCATGGACAGGGACAGGGTGGCTGTGCGGCTCCTCCTCTCCACACCAGGCAGGCAGGTCAAGGGGACCCTCCGGCAAGGAGGGGTTCTGTGGGATTTTGGGGGACTCCTTGCTGAGCCTTCTCCCTGCAGTTTCCTCGGCCCAGGAGGTGTGCTGTCTTCCAGGGACCCCTGAGACCCTTTCCTTTGCCCATCATGGGCACCCATGAGTCCAGCCACAGCCTCTTCCTCCACGCCCTGCGACCCACCCCCAGGCGGCTCTCCTGTGGTGGCACACAGCTGTCCCTCTCGGCCACCTGCCACCTCTGGTCCAGGAGAAGCACTCAGAGTATCTGCCCCCAGACACACATACATACACATGCTGGGGTGCGGCCTTGCCCAACCATAGCCTGTTTCACAGCCACCACCAGAACAGGGGGCCCACAGCTCCCCTCTACGTCCCATGCGGTCAGGCCTCGTCACCTGTCCACCTGAGTTTCCCGAGACCCAGTGAGGCCCCATCCTCCTTGTCTCCAACATGTCAAAGCTCTCCAAGAAGGTCCCCCGTGGACCTGGGGAAGAGCTTCGCATACCCGACACAGGCCCACACCAATAGAAGGCCACACGGGGTCCTGGAAAAAACAAGTGATAGTTCTTCCCAAAGAAACCCTCCCACAGCTCCCCTCAGCCCTCCACTTTCTTGGGCCCCTTTTTATATTCTTGATGTGACTGTGAGGTCCCAACATGCAGCACCACTTCCCTTGAAAACCATCTGCATATGAGAGACATGGGGTTTGGGACCCTGAAAGCCTTGGCGTTGGTCCCTTGGTCAAAAGTGGGGCAGAAGCAGGCCACCCTCACCTCCTGTGACACTTGTTTAAACATCTTTCCCCAACCAGACAGAGGTTTTTCAGAGGGCAGGCCATACCCCAGTGTTGTGGGCTATCAGCAACTGTTGTAAAAAATGTCAGAATTTGAAACAGCAGCATATCCTATGCAGTAAGGATGAATGTTGTCATGTGAAACCACTGTTTCAGAGAGATAGATATCTTGGGTGGGCACCCACATGAACAGAGGGAGTGATGGAAATGTGCTTCCCATCACAAGAAAGCAGCCTGAGGATTGGGTTCATGGCTGGTCTCGTCACCTTGCACCTGGAACCTAGCTCAGGAGCGGGCATGGCAGGAGCCCCGCACGTGTTGGTGGAGGGAGAAAGGCCGGGCCCCCCACCCTAACCTGGGAAGGGTCAGCCTCCTCTCTGACAAGCTCCAGGACACGATGGCTTGGTCTGGGCCCAGGCTGTGGCTTCCCCATCATTCTCAAAGCCCAGGCTTGGCATCTGGGGTTCCTGATCTCCTTGTTCAGGGTCTGCCCCAGCTGCCTGAAATGGACCTTCGCCTGGCATTGCACAGGGCAGGCTCCTCTGGAGGGAGGCCCAAGTGGGGCCACAGCTGTCATCAGGCCACCGTAGGGTAAGGCTGGGGTCCAGGCAGTGGGTGGCTCTGAGGGATGGATGCCGGCTCCTGTGTCAGAGGGAAGGCATGCGGCCCAGAGAGCTCAACCCTTGGCAGGGAGAGAGATGCTCCTCAATGGACGTCAGCTCTCACCCTGGGGCCATGGCTTTGGCAGCCACCCTGCCCCTTGCCAACGGCTCCCCCGCCCTCGGCCCCGGCAGCCACGAGACTCGAGCCCTGGTGCCCGGAGGCTGGGAGGGCGGGAGGCATGGAGACGGAACTGGGACAGAGCCGGCACAGCGGCCGCTGGCTCAGGGAGGCTGCAGCACCGTGTCCCTGAGGCGAGCACCGTGTCCCTGCGGCAGGGGCTGGGGCACCCAGCCCTGAGTGCCCCAGCCTATGGCGACCCCCATGCCTGCGCCCCCGGAGCAGGTTAGTGGGACCCTTTGCTGAATTCACCGGTTCCTCTCCTGTGCTTGATTCCTTCATGGCCTCTGCATTCCCTGCCCCTTTCTCACAGGCAGTCCCACCTGCAGCTCTGGGTTCCCTTGGCAGGTCAGGCATGGGGCCGTCTGACATCCTCACCTACATGGAGACACGGCAGATTCACACACACACATGTACATACTCGTGGCGCTGTAAGCTGGGTCTCCACTCTGGGGCCAGCGGCGTGACATCAGGAAGATGCCTGAAATGCCAGGGATGAACCTCAGGCTTCCTGTCCCAACATCCCCTGGACCAGGGGCCTCAGGACATTCCCAGGACAGAGACCGGCAGACAGGCCAGAGAGGGTGGCCAAGGGACTTTTTTTCAATACTATGCTCAAAGGCTGACACGGCCAAGTTCTGTCTGGGGACCCCAGGAGGACCACAGTGGCCCTGCCGGAAGCACCACTCTCTTGCAGGTGT